AAGGCTACTGCTCTACCACTTGAGCCACAGTGCCACTTCTGGCTTTTTCTGTTTATGTGGTTACTGAGGAATCAAACCCAGGGCTTCATGCATGCTACACAAGCACTCTACCACTAAGCCACATACTGAGCCTTATTATTGGTTTTTACCCTACTTTCCCTTCATTCTTCACAACATAATGTTATTTTTTGAAATAGAAATAATCTTATTTTTATAAAGTCAACTTTTCTGGAGGTCTAAGAGGTCAGAAACTTAGTAAGGAAACTTCATATTGAAAAGTAAATGTATCTGTGTCTTTGAACCTGTAGAAAATGCAACCACCCCATTCTTTTGTTAGATTATAATACTTATCTCCTGTGATAGAATAATTTCTTCCTGTTAATGCTATCATTATTTATGTAAAAAATTACCTGTGTAGTTTTTAGATGACCAAGTCAAAATGTTTCGATTTGGTTTTTTGTTTGTTTGTTGTTTTTTGCTTTGTTTTTTGGGGGGGATGTTTTTTGTTTTTTGCAGTACTAGGTTTTTTTGTTGTTTTTTTTTTTTGTCGGTCATGGGGCTTGAACTCTGGGCCTGGGCGCTGTCCCTCAGCTCTTCAGCTCAAGGCGAGCGCTTTACCACTTGAGCTACAGCGCCACTTCCGAGACCCTAAATTCTTAAAAATCACTTTTGAATAATTTTTTGAGAGGCGAAGTATCATTTCATTAAGCTCAATCATAGATGAAAGAATCTGATTCCTATTTTGTAATTCCTATTTTGATAATGTTTATATTCTCTCCCCCACATACACACATCAATCTCTTTCTCCCTTTTCCCCTCATCCATCTTCTCTCCTATTGTCTTTTTCACCTTTATCTCTCCTCACTTTAAGACTTGAAATCTTTGTACACAGTTTGTTTATAATTTTCTTTTTGCTTTATTCCATCTTTTCTAATAAATTAGACTGTCTATAATAGTCTCTTTCTGTCATTGCTATTTGCTGTAAAGATCTTTTCCTGATTACTTAAGCAAATAAGAATTTACCACTGTATTTTATACAGTATAATGATAAATTAACTGAGCACTAGATACTTTTTCTTGTAGTTTTTTTAACCTTGAAACATGGTTTTACCCCCTGTAATATGTAGAAATTTGACTAAGAGAATTAATTTTAGATTCTGACCTTGCCTTTGAATGTGCAATCTAATCTTTAATAAGCCTTTAGATAAAAATACCACCAGTTGAATTTTATTGTTTCTGAAAATGTAATTGATCCCAGGTTTTTCCACTACCTGTATAAATTCAGTATACTGAAGTTTCTGGGTTTTGCACAAGTTAGGTTTGTTTTGTTTTGTTTTGTTTTTGCCTCACAGTTTGCTGTTTGTCTCCAAGTTCTTTGAACATCACCCAATACCACAGGAGGAGACCTCCTTAACAGAGACTGTCCTTACATCTGGATCATCCCCTTCTGCACCCACCTCAGATTCTATTGGGTATGATTTGACTCCTGCTGCTCAGTGACATGTTACTTGAACTGCCTTCCTTTGGACCTTTTTGTTAATTGTAAACTTTTTCAACACTTATTAAATTAGGGGTTGTTACCCCCCCATAACTTATTTTATCATATCACTTACACATTTACATGCAGTTGGCCAGAAGTAGGATTAAAGCTAGTATACGCTGTATAAGGACCACTTCTGGAAATTAAGTTGATTTTGAGTCTCTGCCTTGTAGTCATCATTTTGTTACATAATAACATACATAGAGGTATTTGATTTCTACTTACTTGTATAAATAGGTATCACTAATTGAGCATGGTATTACACACCTGCAATCTCAGCACTTGGGACACTCAGGAGTATCACAGGTTTGAGGCCAGCCTAAGCTACAGGGCAAGAGACAGGAGAGAGATAGAGAAATAATGAGAGGGAGCAGGAGAGGAGAGAGAGTAACCTGTGAATTGAGGGCAAATAATTAAAAAGCTGTATGTAATTGTTATGGATAATTTCTGATAGAATATATTAAATTGTGATAAGGACATCAGTGTTTACATGGTAAGGAAGATTTGTGTGAGAAAAATGCTCAATAAAACTTAATGAAGATAGAATTTGAAGAAAAAGGATTAGTAGAATTTGAGTGACTCTAGGGATTAAAACAAGATGTTTGGGAGATGGAGAAACAGCATGGGAAAAAGGGACGGACGTGGCGGTTTTAGAGCTACTGAAGTAAGTTTATGTAAACTGAGAAGTACCATGTGTGATACTGCATTTTGGAGAGTTATAGAATTTAGATTGTTACTCACTTTACAGAAGGAGATGGAAATGATAAGTCTTGAAGCAGATTATTAACATGTTCAAATTGGTTTGGTCGTAGCTACTCAGGAAGTGGAAATCTGGCCAGCTGAGGCAGAGAAGTTTATTAGACTCTTATTTCCAAAATAATAGGGGGGAAAAAGACTATAGAGCTGGAAATATGGCTCAAGAGCATCAGCCTAGCAACCTTGATGCTCAGCATCACTTAAAAGAAGAAAAGAAGCCGGGGAGGGGAATCAACAGTGAAATCACGTAAATTAATAGAGGAAATATGTATGAGGAGGAAGATTTGAACTGGAGTGGTAGCAAAACATAAAGCATAAAAGAAAAAAAAAACATTATTAGTAGTTTAGAAAATAAAGAATGTCTTAAAAAATGTAAAAAGTCATATTTATGATTCACCCAGGTTACAGTGACTCATGTCTGTAATCTTAGCTATTCAGAAGAATCTAGGTCCAAAGCCAGCCTGAGCAGGAAAGTTATCTCCATTTAACCACCAAACCTAAAGTAGAGGGGTGGCTCAAGTGGTAGAGTACTAACCTGGTGAGCAGAAAAGCTCTGGGATAGCACCCAGGCTCTGAATTCAAGCCCCAGGACCAGCATTAAATACATAAATGAATGAATAGATGGGTGAATGAATGAATAAATAAATAAAATTTATAGTAGAAAAAAATACAAAATGATGATAAGTTAAATGGGTATTAATTTGCTGTGGAGCATTTCAGATCTGCTTGTTCTTTCCCTGTTGAATTAGAAATAGGAGTATGCAATATCTGATATGGTTTTTTTTTTTTTTTTAATTTGTTTCTTTAAAAAGTTCCCCTAGCCGGGCACTGGTGGCTCATACCTGTAATCCTAGCTGCTCAGGAGACTGAGATCTTAGGATCATGGTTCAAAGCCAGCCTGGGCAGGAAAGTCTGTGAGACTGTTATTTCCAATTAACCACCAGAAAACGGGAAGTGACACTGTGGTAGAGCACTTGCCTTGAGCTGAAGAGCTCAAGGACAGCACCCAGGCCAGAATTCAAGCCCCATGACCGACCGAAAAAAAAAAAAAAAAACATTTCCCTGTAGCATATTCCCTGCTCTAGAATATTCCAGAGAAATTCAGAAATACTTATTATTGGTTGTTTTGGGGTTTGGGGGTTTTTTGGTTTTTTTTTTTTGCTTTTTTGTTTTTTATGTTTATTTTTTACTTTTTTTTTTTTTTTGGCCAGTCCTGGGGCTTGAACTCAGGGCTTGGGCACTGTTCCTGAGCTTCTTTTTGCTCAAGGCTACTGCTCTACCACTTGAGCCACAGTGCCACTTCTGGCTTTTTCTGTTTATGTGGTTACTGAGGAATCAAACCCAGGGCTTCATGCATGCTACACAAGCACTCTACCACTAAGCCACATACTGAGCCTTATTATTGGTTTTTACCCTACTTTCCCTTCATTCTTCACAACATAATGTTATTTTTTGAAATAGAAATAATCTTATTTTTATAAAGTCAACTTTTCTGGAGGTCTAAGAGGTCAGAAACTTAGTAAGGAAACTTCATATTGAAAAGTAAATGTATCTGTGTCTTTGAACCTGTAGAAAATGCAACCACCCCATTCTTTTGTTAGATTATAATACTTATCTCCTGTGATAGAATAATTTCTTCCTGTTAATGCTATCATTATTTATGTAAAAAATTACCTGTGTAGTTTTTAGATGACCAAGTCAAAATGTTTCGATTTGGTTTTTTGTTTGTTTGTTGTTTTTTGCTTTGTTTTTTGGGGGGGATGTTTTTTGTTTTTTGCAGTACTAGGTTTTTTTGTTGTTTTTTTTTTTTGTCGGTCATGGGGCTTGAACTCTGGTCAGCTCAAGGCGAGTGCTCTATCACTTGAGCTACAGCGCCACTTCTGGTTTTCTGGTGGTTTATTGGAGATAGGAGTCTCACGGTCTCTCCTGCCTGGGCTGGCTTTGAACCAAGATCCTCAGATCTCAGCCTCCTGAGTAGCTAGGATTACAGGCGTGAGCCACCAGCGCCCGGCTGCAATACTAGGTATTGAATCTCTAGGACTTCAGAACTGTTCTCGTTCCTTTTGCCTTTAGGTTTGTTTTTGTTTTATGTTGGTCCAGGGGCTTGAATTCAGAGCCTGGGTACTGTCCCTGATTTTTTTTCTTTTTTGGTCTGTTGGTCATGGGGCTTGAACTCTTGGTCTGGGCTCTGTCCTTGAGCTCTTCAGCTCAAAGCGAGCACTTAAGGCACAGTGCCACTTCCAGTTTTCTGGTGGTTTATTGGAGATAAGAGTCTCATGGGCTTTCCTGCCCAGGCTAGCTTTGAACCATGATGCTCAGATCTCAGCTTCTTGAGTAGCTAGGATTACAGGCATGAGCCACCAACGCCTAGCTGTCCCTGTTATTTTTTGTTCAAAGCTAGCACTCTACCACTGAGGCACAGCTCTGCTTCTAGTTTGTGGGTAGTATTGGAGCGATAAGAGTCTCATGGACTGCCCAGGGCTACCTTGAACCTGGACCCTCAGACCTCAGCCTCTTGAATAGGATTACAGACATAAGCCACCAGCACCTCCAGTTTGTTTAAAGATAGAGTCTCTTGACCTTTGCTCAGATTGGCCTTGGACATTCTCTGTCTACTAAATAGCTCAAATGATGGGAATGTGCCACCCCAGGCCTAACTTGTTTGGTCTAATTAGTCTGTTGAATATGATACTTCTCCCAATTGATTTTGTAGACCATGATTTCTTTTTTTTTTTTTTTCTTTTTTTGTCGGTCATGGGGCTTGAACTCTAGGCCTGGGTGCTATCCCTCAGCTCAAGACAAGCGCTCTACCACTTGAGCTATAGTGCCATTTTGGTTTTCTAGTGGTTTATTGGAGATAGGAGTCTCACGGTCTTTGCTTCCCCAGGCTAGCTTTGAACCTGGATCCTCAGATTTTAGCCTCAGTAGCTAAGATTATAGGCGTGAACCACCGGTTCCTGGCAAGACCATGATTTCTTTCTAATGATACCTCCCAGTTCTGTGAACAGTGATAGTTCTGTGCTGTCCATAATAAAATCAGCTTGGCCTCTCTGAAGGTTTATAATGGTATAATCTATATTATTTGTTCTCCAGTGAAGGCCTCCTCTCTTAAAATTAAGAAACCAGGGCTGGGAAGGTGGCTCAGCGGTAGAGTGCTTGTCTTGCATACATGAGGCCCTGGGTTCGATTCTTCAGCACCACATAAGTATAAAAAACCGGAAGTGGTGCTGTGGCTTAAGTGGTAGAGCACTAGCCTTGAGCTTGAAGAGCTGAGGAACAGTGCCCAGGCCCAGAGTTCAGGCCCCACTACTGGGACAAAAAAAAAAAAATTAAGAAACCATTTGCATATGCTATAAGTATTTAAACTGAAATAGATGATCATCTTGAGTAAATGGTAAGAAATGCATTCAGAACTCACTATAAATCTTAATACTTTTATGTCACTGTATATATGCTTACCTTTGTAAAGATAAAAGTTAGATATTCCTTTTGCATTTTGTTATTAATCCTGTCAACATCTATAATGGCCATAACCAAGAAATTTTAAACAAGTGGAAATATCCTGCAGTTTTAAATAAGAAGTAAAAGCTACCTCCTTTTCTACTTTTTAAGAATGCTGAAGAATATATAAATTTAGGAATAGTCAGAATTGAAATTTTGCCTGTGTATGAAGTTTAGTGGTAGAATCATTGCTTGGCATAAGGGTCCTGAGGGTCAATTACATTTACTGCAAGGAAAAGATATAGCACTGAACAGAAGTACTCAGTTTGCCTCCAAACTTATTTTAAGTGTTCTAACTTAAAAATGAGATCTTAGTAATAATTTACTAAAGAATGTTAGAGTTGAAAATATTTTTTTCCCTTTGGTGACTGTGCTGGGGCTTGAATCAGGGCCTTGGTGCTGTCTGTGAGCAAAATTTTTGCTCAAGGCTAATGTACTACTACTTGAGCGACATCTCCACTTCCTACTTTTTGTGGTTAACTGGAGATAAGAGTCTCATGGACTTTCTTGCCCCCTCAAATCTTAACCTCCTGAGTAGGATTACTAGCATGAGCCACCTACACCTGGCTTGAAATTCTTATTTTTTAATGTTTTTTTTCCTTTCTATTTTTAATGTGATACTGCATTAAAAAGTTTTGCTGAAAACTCAATAAAAAGATATCATTGAGAGAAAGCCAGTTGGATGACTGCCAAGATACTTCTTAGGATATAAATTATCTTGGTCCAGAAAGATTTCCCAGTATAAACTGGGCACCAGTGGCTTTTCCTGTAATCCTAGTTACTGCAGAGGCTGAGCACAAGACCCTATTTTTTTTTTTTTTTTTTTGGTGGATTGTGGGCTTGAACTCTGGGCCTGGGCACTGTCCCTCAGCTCTTCAGCTCAAGGCTAGAGCTCTACCACTTGGGCCTCAGCGCCACTTCTGGTTTTCTAGTGGTTTATTGGAGATGAGAGTCTCATGGACTTTCTTGCCCGGGCTGGCTTTGAACTGCAATCTTCAGATCTCAGCTTCCTGAATAGCTAGGATTACAGGTATGAGCCAGGGTCACCTGGCTCAGAAGACTCTTATCTCCAATAAACTACTCAGAAAAGGCAGGAAGTGGTGCCGTGGCTCAAGTGGGTAAAGTACTAGCCTTGAGTAAAAAGAAGCTCATGGATAGCAGCCAAGCCTTGAGTTCAAGCCCCAGGATTAGAGGGAAATGATTTTCAGTGTAGAACATCAATTTTATCATGAGTGTTAAGAATATAATGACTCAAACAAATTCAGAACAGACTAAAGAAAACACCAAATAACTCATTTTAGTGGGAAATATACCAGTTATATAACCCAGATTTCTTTTGTTGGATAGACCAGCACTTGCTCTCATTTAGAAGATGTTTGTGGGAAACTGAATTATCAAAAAATAGTATTTGTTGGGGCTGGGAAGGTGGCTCAGTGGTAGAGCATTTGCCTTGCATGCCTGAGACCCTGGGTTTGATTCTTCAGCACCACATAAGCATAAAGAAAAAAGCCAGAAGTGGTGCTGTGGCTCAAGTGGTTGAGTGCTAGCCTTGATCGGAAGACCTGAGGGACAGCGCCCAGACCCAGAGTTCAGGCCCTACAACCGGAACCTCCCCCCCCAAAAAAATAGTATTTGTTGAACATGAGATTTAGACATGGTTCAGATTCAGAACATCAGGGCATGATAACTGGAGGTATTTTCCACAATTGTAGTAGATATTTGCTAAGCAAGTTGACTGTATAACAAGGTACAATTTCTCCTTTCAGAAAGTATTAATTTGATTTTGTATAATAGGGAGATACTTCATTTCTAATATATATATCCCCTTCTTAGGCTATGAAAATGAAACTTAACAGATTAGATGCAAGTTTTTTGTTTTGTTTGTTTTATTTTGCTGTTAGGTCACTATTTTTTACATTCATAGTTCAGATTTCTTAGCTTGTACATATTTCAATCCCTCAGGAAATTTCAAGAATGACTGCCACCTCTGCATACACCGGGACAATTAAGACTATATTAGACTATCAGTCTTAGTTAATTCATACATTCAGATTTTAAGTCCTATGACGTTAATGTGATTGAGATTTTAAATTAGTCTGAGACTAGTGTAGCAATATACTTTCCAAAACCTTTTTTGTTTAATTTTAAAAAATTTATTGTTATACACAGTGGCTACCGTTACAAAAGTCAGGTAATGAGTGTATCTCTTTTTGGACAATGTCACCGTTTCAGTTGCTGTCTCCCAAACCTTTTTTATTTTTTAATGTCATTTTTACATTTTTTAATCTCTCCCCAAATTCCCTAGCAATATGGGTGTATAATTGGTTGCCTACAGCAAGATTAAGAACAACTCTACTATGATCTAAAATTTTTTCAATAACTAGACAGCATAAAAAAGTCACAGGTGAAATATAGTAATTTTTCCAGTATCTAGTTTAACTTATAATTCTAATTGGACTGGTAACCAGGTTTTGTTTTGTTTTTTAACAATTTTTGTTTTATATAATAATTTTAAGCAACTATTTATTTTCCTTCTTCATTTTGTGCCATTATTGGGGCTTGAACTCAGGGCTTCATGTTCTTAATTGGCTTGCTTTCTCTCTCTCTCTTTTTTTTTTTTTTGGTTGTGGGTCTTGAACTCTGGGTCCTGGGCTCTTCAGCTCAAGGCTAATGCTCTACCACTTGAGCCACAGCGACACTTCTGGTTTTCTGGTGGTTGATTGGAGATAAGAATCTCAAGGACATTCTGCCCCAACTGGCTTTGAACTGTGATCTTCAGATCTCAGCCTTCTGAGTAGCTAAGATTACAGGTGTGAGCCACTGGCACCAGGAGGCTTGCTTTCTCTTGACTGGTACTTTTCCACCTGAGCCACACCTCCAGCCCTAGAACACATTATTTATATGTCACTTTTAAATGGATACACATACTTAATATGAACACATAAGTCAAAAATCTCTTTTCTTATCCTGAATAATGTGCTTCATATTCTGTTGATAACATTTATGTTACTGTTGAACTTCCTTTGTTCTTCAAACCTTTATGCATTTTCCTGTTTTTATCTTAATATTCTTCTCCATATCCTCTCCCCTCAATATTGTCTTTCTGTTCTAAAAGACTAAATAATACTGATTAGTTCACAAAAAATGTGGGTGAAATGATAACCAGTATGAGAGTAGGGCTTGTTACTGCTGGGTCCTGTGTGTGTGTTGTTGTAGTTCAGTTAAAGCCCTTTCTCTTCTAGCAAGTGATACTCACTCCTTGTTCCCCAAAGATTTTTCTTAGATGTACAGCCTCAGTCTACAGGTGTTTATAACTGTTTTTAAAACTACAGAGTTCGCTATGTCAAGTTTCTTTTAGGGCCTAGGGCCAGAGATTGTAGAGTGTTATCTCTAACACCAAAATACGTCACCTAATATGATCACCTAATTTTAAAAACAATTTTTAAAAATACCTGGTTTAGCTGGGTGCCAGTGTCTGCCTATAATCTTAGCTACTCAGGAGTTTGAGATCTGAGGATCGAGGTTCAAAGCCAGCCCAGGCTGGGAAGTCCATGAGACTCATAACTCCAATAAACCACTCAAAAACTGGAAGTGGCGCTATGGCTTAAGCGGTAGAGCGTTTGCCTTGAGCTGAAGTACACAGGGACAGAACCCAAGCCCCAAGTTGAACAACAACAAAAAACTACCAACTAAAACTACTAAAAAATCTACCAACAACAATAAAAACAAACAAACCTGGTTTAGCTGCACAGTAGTGGCTTGTGCTTATGATCCTCGCTACTGAACAGGCTGAGCAACCCTGGGCAGGAAAGGCAGTGAAACTCTTCCTTCTAGTTAACCATCAAAAAGCCAGAAATGGAACTGTGACTTAAGTTAGTAGAGCACTAGGCTTGAGTAAAAACACTCAAGACAGTGTAAGCCCTGAGTTCAAGCCCCAGTACTGTTACACACACACACACACACACACACACACACACACACCAGTTTAATGCTTGGTGTGTTATTCTCGTATTATTGATGTCACTATTTGAGCATAATAGAAATTTTAAAATGTGAAAGATAATTGGGTACTATGAAAATAATTTTCTGAATTTGGAAATGATGTTTCAGTATTGCCTCACTCATCTCTTTTTCTGGTCTTGAAATACACAGATATAACCTCAAAAATATTTACCATTTCTTTCCACAAAATTTCCATTTTACTACCTTCAGATATCAAACAATGACAAAGTTAGAAAAAATAGTGAATTAAAATAATGGATTTTTTTCAGTTTATATATAGTGTTTTGGGGGAAGGGAAGTGGTACTAGGGTTTGAAGTGAGGGCCTTGGATTTGCTAAGCAGGCTCTCTATGATATAAGCCACTCTATTACACCCTGGTATCTTAATTTTTAAACTAAAAAACCATTGCAGCTGAAATTTTCATGCTTGATTTGAAAGATTTTCCTGTTAAAATCTTGATATCTCCCATTTAAAAAAATATCTACATAATTGCTCTGAATCTTACCTTCCGATGACTTGATTTTTTCAGGCCCCAAATTCTCACCAGTCCATCTCCTTCAAAATCCATTCCAATTCCACAGCCCTTCCGACCAGCAGATGAAGATCATAGAAATCAGTTTGGGCAACGGGACCGGTCCTCATCAGCTCCTAATGTGCATATAAACACAATAGAACCTGTCAATATTGATGTAAGTATCCAGCATGCTAGAACTAAAGATTTCAAGTGTATTTCCTTTTTCTGCTACACTTGTTTTATATACATATACATATATATGATATGTTTATATAAAAATATACATACATGTATGTATATATTTCAGAAATAAGTGCCATCTTTCATTTTATCCATTGTTTTAAGTGCTAGGTTTATGTGAATCCCAAATACTTCCCCAGTGCCCGAACCACAGCTATTCAATTTTTTTTCTTCATGATGTCATCTCTGTAAAAGTCTTAACTTCAAGTGAAACTGGTTTAAATAACAAAGGATTTTAGAGGACCTTACAAGTATTCATGCAATCCTCTAAAATTTTATAAAATTGATTGTAACTGTGATAAATATGAAATCAGAATTTGTTTGTCCTGTTTTGTATTATAACCAATAAAATCCTGATTCTTTTTGTTTCATAATTACCATGTAATTTATTTAGTGTAAAGGAAAAACTATCATACGTATTAATTTTATTTTTCAAAATAAACTGTAAAATCACATCTTCTCACCTTTTTTTGATTGGTCGTGGGGTTTGAACTCTGGGCTTGGGCACTGTCCCTGTGCTCTTCAGCTCAAGGCTAGCACTCTACCACTTGAGCCAAGTCCCACTTTTGCTTTTCTCGTGGTTTATTGGAGATAAGAGTCTCATGGACTTTCTTGCCCATGCTGGCTTGAACCGTGATCCTCAGATCTTAGCCTACTGAGGAACTAGGATTACAGGCGTGAGCCACCATTGCCCGACTACATCCTTTCCACTTTACGCTGTGAAGCTTTTTCTTTATTTTTAGAGGTTCATTAAAGTGGCTTTTTTCCTAGTACCAGTTTTCCTCTTCTATGTAGATAGACCTGAATTCAGAGGTGAAAAAGATAGTGAAATAAACCAAAGTGTTCTAGGTTAGATCTGTTCTAGATACATTCAAAATTATATCCTTTATCTTTCAAAAATTAATATTACACTATTTTGCTTTTTTTTTTTTTTTCCAGTCATGGGCTTAAACTCAGGGCCTGGGCACAATGTCCCTGAGCTATTTTTTTGCTCAAGGCTAGCACTCTACCACTTTGAGCCACAGCTACACTTCCACTTTTCTGGTGGTTAATTGGAAGATAAGAATCTCATGGACTTTCCTCTCCAAACTGGCTTTTGAACAGTGATCCTAAGATGTCAGCCTCCTGAATAGCTAAGATTACAGGCATTAGCTACCAGCACCCAGCTCTATTTTCCTTTTTTTTTCTGATTTGACATTGTTTTCCTGGTTTTCTGGGTTTGGACATTTGAAGTATCACTTTATATGTTATCTTTTCATCCTTAAACAACTGTAAGATACCACCATTTTTGGTGCTACTGAGGTTTGAACTTAGGAACTAACACTCACTAGGCAGGCATGCTTATCACTTGATCAATGCCTCTAGTCCTTCCTGGTTCACCACCACTATTTGACCCTGCCAGTCCTTGGGCTTCAACTCAGGGTCTGGGTGCTGTCTCTGAACTTCTTTTTGTTCAGGCTAGTACTCTACCACTTGAGTGTCACTTCCAGCTTTTTCCGTTTATATGGTACTGATGAATGGAACCCAGGGCTTCATGCATGCTAGAAGCATTCTACCAGTAAGCTACCTTCCTAGCCCCCTATATTTCTTTAATTGAATCATTTACTGGTGGATTTTTCCACCATTGATTTCTCTTTATCCATTTTCATTCTTTATACTATCACTAGAATAACTTTATTTTTATCTTTATTTTTTTTTGGTACTAATTCTAGGGCTTGAACTCAGGGACTGGGCACTATCCCTGAAATTTAACTCAAAGCTAGTACTGTATGACTTGAGCCACAGCTCTACTTCGGCTTTTTTGGTAGTTAATTGGAAATGAGAGTCTCATGGCTTGCCTAGGCTGGCTTCAAACTATGATCCACAGATCTCAGCCTCCTGAATAGCCAGGTGTGCGCCACTGACACAGGGCTTATTAGGGTAGTTTTTGTTTATTTGTTTGTTTGTTTTTTGTTGGTCATGGAACTTGAACTCTGGGCCTGGGCACTGTCCCCCAGCTCTTCAGCTGAAGGCTAGCACTCTACCATTTGAGCCACAGCGCCACTTCTGGATTTCTGAGTGGATTATTGGAGATAAGAGTCTCATGGACTTTCTTGCCTGGGCTGGGTTTGAACTGGGATCCTCAGATCTCAGCCTCCTGAGTAGCTAGGATTACAAGCCTGTAGGCTTGAGCCACCTGTGCCCAGTTAGGGTAGTTTTTATAGCACCTTTTTTTATTATTATTATCTGTTCCCTGTTCCAAGACTTTCAGCCACATAACCTTTTCATTCATGGTCAGTCATTTATTCCACTAAAACTAATATTATTAACCTAGGGCTCAACAACTAGGAATTAAAGATCAATTGGCAACACAGTCATTGCCCTATAGGAAGTTACCATGGAAGATGAATCAGAAGGATAAAGTTGGGGGTAGAGGGCTCACACTTAAAATCCTACCTACTCAGGCCAGCCTGAGCAGAGAAGCCCATCTCCATTTAACCAGCAAAATACTGACTTGGGGCATGGCTCTAGTGGTATAGCACCAGCAAGAAAGCCTATTGAGATCTAGAGGCCCTGACTTCAAGTTCTGGTACCAGCACAAATATATAAATACGTCTGTCTGTCTGTCTGTATTATATGTATGTCTAAAGTGACAGTAAAATAATTTCCAGAAGGTAATAAACTCGTATTCCCCTGAATAATTAGCAGAGATGGGTAACTTTCAAGCCAGATTGCAAAAGGTGGATGGCTAAGAGTTTATTAAGCACGCTTGGTAGGGAGGAAAGGCATTTGTCAAAGAAATAGTATGTACAAAGCCATGGAAATAGCTTATATAGATGTGATTCATAATTGTTATTGTCACTTGTGGTTCAGGAGAAAACTGATAAATGGTAGAAGATGAAACTAGGTCCATTCCACATGAAATTTCTCTCTATTACTCTAAATGGTAGGGAGTCTGAAACACTTTTTTTTCTTGGTTTTATGAAACAAGTTCTCACTGTGTAGCAGAAACAGTTCTAGAATTCCTGAGCCTCCTGATTCAGCCTCTCTTGTGCTGTGATTACAAGTGTGTACCACTCTACTCAACCTGAAATACTTTTTGAACATGAGAGATTAGCTTTATATTTTAGAAAAAAATTGTTGATGAAGTAGATCCAATAAGTAACACATCTAAAAGCTAGACTGTTTTAATGAGCCTTTTGCAGTATTCCAGTGAAGAGATGATAAATTTCTGAAATCATAGCATTGATAGCAAGAGAAGGAATGAGTGTGTTGAGAGAAGGAAAAATAAAAATTAATGAATTAATGGTAAGATTCTTAGGAATATTGAAAATGGCAACTATATATGAGTACTTACTATGTGCAGGTACTACCTATACTAAGTGCTTTAAATACATTTGCTTGTTCAGCCTCATAAAGATTGTTAGGCTAAGTATTATTTTTATTTTCATTTTTCTCTTAAGCAGATTATATATTTAAAGAGGTTAAAAATACAGGCTGGGATGTAGCTCAGTGGCAAAGCGCTTGCCTAGCAAGTACAACATCCTGGGTTCAACCCCCAGTACCAAAGAAGAAAAAACAAAACAAAAAAAGCTGCTAAAAAAAGAATTTACTAAGATCAAATTAAGATTTACTCAAGATCTCACTGCTGAGAAGTGGCTGATATGGCCTTCCTATGTTAGGCCCATGGTATTTATAGTAAGTAGTACAGGAAAAAGGTGAAAGAGATACCAATGATTATGTTCATGTTTCTGGCTCATAGATGAGAACATGGTTTATAGAAACAAAAGTGAATTAAAAAAAAAATTTGGTGCCAGTCCTGGGGCTTGAAGGAGCTGTCCCTGAACTTTTGTGCTCAAGGCTAGTGTTCTACCACTTGAGCCACAACTCCACTTCTGGCTTTTTTGCGGGTAGTTACTTGGAGATAAGAATTTCATGGACTTTCTTGCTCGGCCTGGCTTTGAACCATGATCCTCAGATCTCAGCCTCCTGAATAGCTAGGGTTATAGGCATGAGCCACCAGCACCCAGCTAATCTACTCTTATTTAAACCTTAAGATGTAAAAAATAAAAAAATAAAAGCAATAATTTTTATTTTAGACATATTGACATAAGATACCTGTAGATCTTTAAGGTTTAGAAATCTATTTGCAATTGAATATAGTGACCTTAAATAGAGATACAGATTTTAGAAGCAAGTTAGTATATTTGTGTCAGTTTAAGACATGGATGTAAATATTACTTAAGAGAGTATAAAATAAATTGAGGTCAGCCTGGGCAGAAAAGAGTTTCCTTGAAACTCTTTATCGCCAATTAACCACTCAAAACCCAGAAGTGGAGCTGTAGCTCAAAGTGGTAGAGCATAGCTTTGAACAAAAAAAGCTCAGGTACAGCACCCAGGCCCTGAGTTCAAGCCCCACAACCAGCAAAAAATTAAAAAATAATAATAAAAAAAACTAACCCCAACTATTTGAGACACAGAGATAGGAGGATCCAGAGATGAAGGCCAGCCTGGGCAAAGTTTTCAGTACCTTATCTCAAAAGTATAAAGTAAGTAAATAAAACAAAAGGACTAGGTGTACAGAGAAGAGAGTAGAAAATGCAGTCCTCGTGAATATTGATATTGCAGAAAAAGAAAACTGTTCTTTGTGACTTTTATAGGCTCTTCTTCAGGTAGCTTCAGTAGTTCTGCCTTAGCCAAAAGAAGGGTTTTGAGAGCGTTCACCTGCCATTAAGACTTATATGCAATAAAGACCAAAATAACTTGTTTTGGTAATTAAAATGTTATTTGTGGGTTGGGAATATACTTCAGTGGTAGAACACTTGCTGAACACGTAAGAATCCTAGGTTCAATTCCCAGCACCACTAACAAAAGTGGCTAGTAGAGGATAGGAAGGCAAGTAAAGAAATAGGGTTGCTGGTTTTGAGAAGATTCCTGTAAAGGAATAACAAAACAGACAAAACAGGTGCAATTTAAAATTTTTTTAAATTGTTATTATAAAAGTGATAGAGGGATTATAGTCAGGTGAAGAGTACATTTCTTGGGCTGGGATGTAGCTCAGTGGCAAAGCGCTTGATTAGCAAGTGCAACCTCCTGGGTTCGGTCCCCAGTACAAAAAAAGACAAAAAAAAATAGAGTTAAAAAGAGTACATTTCTTTTTGGACAATGTCACCCCTTCCCTCTGTCTCCCAGGTTTTCCCTCCCATTCCTATATACAAGGAGCAGTTATTTTTAATGAAAGACTAACAATCTGTAGAGAAAGAAGCCAATAAGGAAAGGCTGAAGATAACAAGATAGAGAAGAACTGATTTAGTACGTTCCGTGGACTTGGATATCATATCTCACAGAAACTACAAAAAAATTAAAGATGAACACAGTTCTCTGTAGATTGTATGTTATTGGGCTAACTCTGGAACAGTGCCTACCTACCTCCTGGACTGGTTTGGGAAATTTTTTATGCCTGGTATGTAATAAGAAATTAGAAATTGGGCTGGGAAAGTGGCTCAGTGGTAGAGTGCTTGCCTTGCATGCATGAGGCCCCAGGTTCGATTCCTCAGCACCACATAAGCAAAAAGAAAAGCCGGAAGTGGCGCTGTGGCTCAAGTGGTAGAGTGCTAGCCTTGAGCTGAAGAGCTGAGGGATAGCGCCCAGGCCCAGAGTTCAGGCCCCACAATAGGACCCAAAAAATTAGAAATTATAACTAATACACTGTGTGCAATATTTTCAGGTATAAAATTGGCCCTGAAAGTTCTTTGATTATTTTTCTTTATCATGATGAAGGAGAAATATATAAGAGAAGGAACTAACTATAAGATAGAATAGGAAAAGTTAGAAAGAGCTAGAAGAACAATTACCAGAATCTAAAACAAATACCAAATTGTTAAGGAACTTTAAAAACATACCTGAAATCTAAGTTTACCAGAACCGAGAACAAATACCAAATTGTTAAGGAACTTTAAAAACATACCTGAAATCTAAGTTTATGTGGTATACTAGAGTTCAGTTTTAAGAACAGAGAAAGAGGGCTGGGAAGGTGGCTCAGTGGTAGAGCGCTTGCCTTGCATGCCTGAGGCCCTGGGTTCGATTCTTCAGCACCACATAAGCAAAAAAAAAAAAGCCGGAAGTGGCGCTGTGGCTCAAGTGGTAGAGCGCTAGCCTTGAGCTGAAGAGCTGAGGGACAGCGCCCAGGCCCAGAGTTCAGGCCCCACAACCAGAAAAAAAGAAAAGAAAAGAACAGAGAAAGAAAATTTGGACCCTTTAGAGTTGCAGGGAATTTCAGAGCTGTTACAGCAACAAGGAAAGGGATGTCGCATGCGTGCGTGCGTGCGTGCGTGCGTGTGTGTGTGTGTGTGTGTGTGTGTGTGTGTGTGTTCCTCTATCTAGAAGGACAAGGAAGCCCAACTCACACATTTCAACTACTTTACCAGTGTCCAAATTCTATAGTTATTACTTATGCATCATTATGATCAATTTCTGCAGGCTGGAAGCCCATCATCATGATTGCCAAATCCTATAGTTCCTATGTATGTGTAGGCACTGAAAGTTACCAATAGCACTTTGGTGGTAGTAACTTCAAGAAACCAATTTTTCTTTTGTTATATTTTTAGGCTGTTATGTATCATTTAATTTTCATGTTTGGGTATCTTCTAATAGTCACTTAGCACTTAGTTTGAAAATACGAATATCTGTTGATTATTCTGTTAAAAATGGTGAAGGATCTACATTAATACACTGAACATGTTAGAAGTATACTTGGAAGTAATTTATTCTTTATTTAATCCAGAAGCAAAAAGCTGCCTATTTGAAAAAAAATTGCTTAGAAACATTTAGGGTCATTCAGTCTCTCACATTTAATTAAACCAAATAAACTAACCCAAGTTCTGCCTCTTAAGATCCAGGTTGCTTTACTAATAAAGAGTTTACCCCAGCTATCAACATGATTATAAAAATAAAGACCAATCTTAACATGATCCTTATTTGAGCTATTTTGATTTTCTTTCTTATCCATGTGCCCTATATTTTTATGATGGAATTCAATGTTCTTTTAATTTTGTATTTTTATTGTAAACATGTTTCATGATTCAAGTTTCATAATGTTTTGGTAACTGCATAATAAACTGATACACAATAACTTAACCATAATATGTCAAAATTATTTCTGGCTTTTGGTATGATGGATGCTGCTGCACTAAACATCCTTGTGCATATCATTTTTTCTTCTGAATTATTTCCGTAGGAAAAATTCCCAGAAGTGGAATTACAGGATCAAAGGGTATGAACATTTTTATGGCTCTTAATATGTGCCAGTAAGATTTTCTTTAAGGATTGATGGAAGCCATTGAATGGCCAGAAATGGATTTTAACACGTGATCAGGACTAATAATCCTTCCAGTACAGGATTAGATTGGCAAATACTTCAGAATTTAGATTTTTATATGTACACTAGTTAATTTCATATGGTTTGTTTTGTGAAGTAACTGTTAAGACAGGAGTTGTTTTGAATTAACCTTTCTGTTAATGAATAGTGGAAAATTCAATGTTGTTACTTTCTTGCCATGTACTTTGATTAAATATACTTTACTATTTGTTTATAGGATTTGATTAGAGATCAAGGGTTTCGTGGTGATGGAGGTAAGTCATAATTTCAGCTTAAAAAAAAAGCACATACACAGAGAAAAATGCAATTGCTTTGCTGCTTGTTTCCTTTTTACTTGCTTCTTTCATGAAACACAGACACAGAGAAAAATGTGTAGAGAAAATCCAATTTTTTTCTGTAGTACTGATTATGTATTGTTAATAAAATTTTAGGTAATTTAAAACATGAGTAAAGAAAATTAGAAGACATGAAAAGGAATATAAAAAAATACTATTTACAATGTACTATTAACGGATATAGTATATCAAGGAGAGATCCTTAGTTATTTTACCCCTTTTGTTAATTTCTACCATCTGGGAGCTTCTACAGATACAGAAAGATTGAGATTAGAATCAGATAAAACTTTACTAAATAATTCTTAGAAGGAGTTCTTTTAATTGCCTGCCACAATTTGTATTTGTCAGACTTTATCAACGACTTTTCTTAGTCTTTTTAGAAGTATTTAGAATATACTTTCTGTGTTTGTGCCAGAACTGAGGCTTGAACCAAGAGTCTTGTGTTCTCACTTAGTTTTTAGGCTTATAGCTAGCTGCTGCTCTACCACTTGAGCAATTATACTTGTAGCTTTTGGTGGTTAATTGGAGATTAAGATTCTGTGCTTTTGTCTGCCCAGATGGGCTCTGAACTATGATCCTCAGATTTCAACATTTGGGTAGCAAGGATTACAGGCATGAACCACTGGTGATCAGCTAAAATGTACATTTTATAGAATAAACCCATAATGGAAAAAGCTTGTTGCCCTCTTTGAAACAGAACTGAGATTTCCTACAGAATTTTTATCTAGCATTCATTCTAGCCAAAACAACATGAAATATTATAAAATGTTTCATGTTATGAAAATACTTTTTGTAACCCTAAATAATGTTTTCTAGATGATATTTGAGATTGTCTTGAAGTTTTCTTGCAGGAGGTCCTTTCTGTGTTTATTTTTTCAGCTATTTTCTATCTAATATGGAAGATTTATGTTAACTGCTTATTATGCTTAGAGCTAATCTCTTCACTGTGACCTTCTTGTGTACCTTCAAAAGTATCTAAGCCAAGAGACTCAATGGTATTTCATATTGAGTAAACATTATATAAATCATCTTGTTATGTTTCTGTATTCCTGTGAAGCTGACAGAATAATAAGCCTGAATTATGTCCTCTGGGCTTAGTATTGACCACAGCACCTATTTATATAGGAGTTTTTGTTCTGTTATTCCATGAACCTGCCAATTAATGTTGCTGCCAGTTTGACTTTCATATGTCCTAATAACTGTGGCTGCTGATAATTTTGCCCAATGCATCCAGCATTTAAATGTTGCCATCATGTTAGCATCACAGTTGACTTAGTCATAAACACAGCCTGCTCAGTACTTAAAATCAAGTGGCATTTCTTGTCCTAAATATGAGTCATTTTTTTAAAGATCATTGGGATATTATTAAAATAAGCAGGTGGTTTTTTTTTAACACCCAGAATTATTTTGTAAAGCAGGCTTCAGTTCATCGTATTTATTCCCCATGACTTCTTTCATTTCTTCTGTGTGTCTGTCTTCCTGTGTTTGCCTGCCCCTCTCTTTCTCTTCTAACAGCCCCCTTGAACCAGCTGATGCGCTGTCTTCGGAAATACCAATCCCGGACTCCCAGCCCCCTCCTACATTCTGTCCCCAGTGAAATAGTGTTTGATTTTGAGCCTGGCCCAGTGTTCAGAGGTAGTTGGGCTCTTCTTTCTTGTTTTCACCCAAAGCAAATTAAATATAAGCATCCGTAGATGCTGTTTGTGTCTCACCCTCACAGCGTGTGTTTGTAAGTGTGAGAGTTTTAAGTACTAAATTTCTGCTTGGCTTGGCTGGAATGCTCTGAATGTGCTTCTCACACATACTACACAAGCTTTCTGTATGCTGTCTGTCATAAATATTTAAAAGCAAGAAAATTCTGAGTTGGGATTTCCATCTTGTTTTTTGTTGTCTCATGACTTCTTAATCACAGTGGGTGGGAAAAAATAAGGTGGGGAGGCACCAACAATTTTCACGGTTTTTAAGAAAATAAAAATAGAAATGGAAACCCCTATTAAAAGATTTTTCTGAGGCTTTTTTATTTTTGAGATTTTACAGTATCAATGTTTTTCTTATAGAATATGTATTTTATAACTTAGAATATATATATTCCATAACAAAATGAGGAAGTTATTTAAATATATATTGAATTTTTATTTAGTGCTAATAAATTTTAGCTAATTCATAGAATGAATAGGTTTAGAAAATTTGAGGAGTTATACTTTTAATTAATGTGAGGAAATAGTATAATTTCATCCTCTTTGTTTTGAATATTTTAGTTATTGGTTAAACCAGTGTTTAAATTTTGAAGTAAGAGTTAGGACAGGTGTCTTACTATCTATACATACTGGTGAGTGAACAAGACTGAATATATTACGGTGCTTTGGAATTTTGCTATTACAGGCTAGCTGGCTGGTTCATAGAATGGGAAAAAGTCATTTGGAACCAATAATAGAATTTAAATACCACATGTTTAGTAGAACAGAACTGTGGAACCTGTGCAAGCAGTTAAGGCTTTATTTTCTTGAATTTTATCAATAGCAGATAGAAAATGTACTGTTTTTCAGTTAAAAGACACTCCATACATTGTTTTTAATAGATAATTACATATAAAATCTTGGAAATTTTGCATTGTGATATAGTAATAAAATGTCTACCTAGATTTACCATTTCAGTGTTGTTATTGGTATCATTCTTTGGAAAATCATGGCTCTTTTTATTCCCCAAGAATATTAATATTTTTGTTTTAAATTTATTGAGGACCTTCAGTACTGTGTATGGAAAGCAACCTGGAAACCTCAGCCCTGCTCAGCTATACTCAGGCCCTACTCAGTCCTTGAACTGAGCCCCTCTGAGCTTAGGCTGTTTACCACCGAGTCAGCTTTTGGAAAAGCACCCATCAGAAATATAATCCTCCTAACATAGCTAACTTCTTAAGAGTACCCCTGGGCTCAGTGGGCTTATAAAATATTCCTGCTTATAGTAATTTAGCTTTGAGGCCAAGATACTTTCTCTTCCTTATAAAGGTAGAGATTTTTCTAGAAAGTCTTGAGAAACCTACTTAGGTTTTCTTTTATTAACTCCATTAGACAGGTAACTAGTAATTTATATTTAGTAGAAAAAGGCCTCCAGGATCCACTAATAATGACCCACATTTTTTGGGGGGGGGGGTCCGGTCATGGGGCCTGAACTCTGGGCCTGGGCGCTGTCCCTCAGCTCTTCAGCTCAAGGCTAGCACTCTACCACTTGAGCCACACTGCCACTTCCGGCTTTTTTCTTTTTGTTTATGTGGTGCTGAGGAATCGAACCCAGGGCCTCATGCATGCAAGGCAAGTGCTCTACCACTGAGCCACCTTCCCAGCCCAAGAATCTCTCAGAATTTCTTGCCCCAGCTGGCTTGGAACTGCAATCCTTAGATCTCAACCTCCTGAGTAGCTAGGATTATAGTGTTATGAAATATGTAGTCTAACCAGTAGAATGAACATGAGATTGCAAAAGGACAAAATAATGACATTCACAGGGAAATGGATGGAACTAGAAAAAAATCATTTTGAGTGAGGTAAGCCAAGAGCAAAGAGACAAACACATGGTCTCCCTGATATGTGGATGTTAAATCCAAAATGTAAGGAGTTACGACAAAGTAAACAAGACTTTAGAAACAAAGGACCTCCACTCATCTGATCATATCATTACTAAGTGACCCCATGCTGCTGACCACATATATGGTATGTATGTGCACATCTGAGGGATACTAGGAGGAAGACACAGAAACAGAGGAAAAGGGAAAACATACAATAGCAGGATCCATCAGCTGCACTGGACATCGATCAAAATGAAATAAGCAACTCAATGGCAGCAATGGGAGAGAGTGAGGAAATGAGCAGGAAAGAGAGAACAGCTGACACTAAGCAAAAGGAAAGAAATGTACATATCACCTGATGTGGAAGAAATTGCTGTATTGTCAAAGTTCATAGAATTCACAAATTTTATAGACAACGATAAAGACAGTTTGCCCCATGAATGTGTTTGTGACTTTAAGTATCACTATCTCACAAGACTATGAAATTTATGTAATCACTTAATGACAATTTTTTAAAAAGTTAAAGTATATGTATATATATATAGGTATATATGTATACACTAAGAAATACATATAAGTGGACAAGAAGCTGAAAGCTTACAAAGTGGACATGAATAATAAATAACAGAACACTATTAGCTCTCCAGAAACTTCTCTATTCCAGCCAGTCTTCCTGCCATGGATAACTACTACCTTCCCAACCTTAGGAGGAATCATAGAGTGTATACTTTTGTGTCTGGCCCAGTTTACTCAACACTGTATGTATGATTCATCTGTGTTGGTATGATTGAAGTCATTCTCTGAATAATATTCCACTGTGTGACAGTTACCTGATTACTTCTATCTGCTGTATAATGAGCATTTTGGTAGTTTCTAGTTTAGTGTTACTCCTAATGATGTTGAAGTATATGTTTTTTGGAGAACCTATTTGTCCATTTTTACATAACTACCAGCAGTATTACACAGTGGTTGTACCAGTTCATATATCTGCTGGCAGGTTATATAAAGTTATTAAACATGATTTTTTTTTTTGGCCAATCCTGGGGCTTGAACTCAGGGGCCTGGGCACTGTCCCTGAGCTGCTTTTGCGCAAGATTAGCACTCTACTTGCGCCACAGTGCCACTTCCGGCTTTTTCTGTTTATGTGGTATTGAGGAATCGAATCCAGGGCTTCACGTATGCCAGGTGAGCACTCTACCACTAAGCCACATTCCTAGCCCCATGATTTTTTTTAACATAACAAAGACACATTTTTTTTTTAACACAAAAACAGACTTCTGGAAGGAAAGACATGGACACACCTCAAAATGTTTCAAAAGTAAATGTGCCTAATGTATTCCTCCCATAAATTTTTTGAAGTGTACTAATATTTTATTTTCTTAATCATAAGTGTCATAGTAATTCATAGCTTTAAGAGACAAAAAAAAAGCTGGTGGCTCACATCTATCATCCTAGCTACTCAGGAGGCTAAGATCTGAGGATTGTGGTTCAAAGCCTGCTGGGGCAAGAAAGTCCATGTGATTCTTATCTCCAGATTAAACACCAGAAAACTGGAAGTGGTGCTATGGCTCAAGTGGTAGAGTGCTTGCCTTGAGCTGAAGAGCTGAGGGCCAGCGCCCAGGCCCAGAGTTCAAGCCCCAAGACTAACAAAAACAAAAACAAAAAACCCTGAACTACTCAGAAGTTAGCTACTCTGAAGTTTTCAGTTTCTTTTTTAAAGCCAAGCTCCCATTGGGCCTGTTCATCATGTTAACATATATAACAAATAGTTCTAATTTAATATTAAATAATCAGAAAAATGTTCTGTATTGATTAAACTAAAATTCTAAGGAAGAATAAAGTTGGCTCTTCTTTAAATTGCTATTTTGAAATGCCTAGTATAAAAATAGCATTGTTAGTTTAGTTTTTAATCCATCGAAAATTAATAGTGTAGTTATGGCATAAATAATTCACTTCAGTTTTATAATGCCTATTATAGGGCTATGACAGTGAGAACACCCACAAATATTTCGTACTTTTAATGTAAAAAATTAGAATGACATTTGGAATGACAATTACCTTTTAGGTGATGTAGCAGTGAAAATGTTGAATGTGACAGCACCTACACCTCAACAGTTACAGGCCTTCAAAAATGAAGTAGGAGTACTCAGGTGAGCTTGTGAGATTACTGTTTTCTAGAGATAAGTTCTTGTTATTGCATCCTGTTTTCCTGTGGTACCCTCTGTGAGCTTTATAAATTTACTCAAAATGGATACAGAAGTGTAGCATGTCTAACTATAATTTACCTTTCATCATATTAATTTAAATAATATTCACTGTTTTATGATACAGCTGATAGAAGACCAAGTCCTGGACTGAAAGGTGGAAATACAGTGTTCTGATCATGTGTGATAATAATTCCACTTATGGAAACAGTACCCTTAAATTAAAATTCTAAGAACATCAGAATCCATTTTGAGGTTGTGTTTAGTCCTTGTTCCAAGGACTTTGGGAACATTGACAAAGAAAAGTAGATCAAGGGTAGTACTACTTTAAATGAGCAAGATTCTTGAACAACTTAGTGGGGAAATAAATGGTCAACAAAAGCAAGCAAATTTAACTCACAGACGGTGTTACATTCTAGAGGATATGTAATTATTCATCTAATTCCAGAAAGCAGAACAAAACAAAACAACAACAAAAAACTAGTTGTGAAAATTAGAGAAAACTGTCTCAAATTTTTTTATTTTAATTTTAATTTTTAAGTAGTTGTACGGAGGAGATTCTATTTAACAATGCAATTTACCAGTACTATGCATCTTTTTTCTTTTTCTTTTTTCTTTTTTTTTTTGTTGTTGTTGGCCGTGGGCCTTGAACTCTGGGCTTGGACGCTGTCCCTCAGCTCTTCAGCTCAAAGCAAGAGTTCTACCACTTGAGCTACAGCATCACTTCCAGTTTTCTGGGGGTTAATTGGGGATAAGTCTTACAGACTTTCCTGCCCTGGTTGGCTTTGAACCTCAATCCTCAGATCTCAGCCTCCTCAGTAGCTAGGATTGTAGGCATGAGCCACTAGCACCTGGCTACAATGCATCTTTTTTTTTTTTTTTTTTTTGGGGTCCGGTTGTGGGGCTTGAAGTCTGGGCCTGGGCACTGTCCCTCAGCTCTTCAGCTCAAGGCTAGCGCTCTACCACTTGAGCCACAGTGCCGCTTCCGGCTTTTTTCTTTTTTCTTATGTGGTGCTGAGGAATCGAACCCAGGGCCTCATGCATGCAAGGCAAGCGCTCTACCACTGAGCCACCTTCCCAGCCCCTACAATGCATCTTAAAGAAAACTTTTTTGTTTTTGTTTTTGTTTTTTGTCGGTCATGCAGGTTGAACCCAGTGCCTGGGTGCTGTCCCTGAGCACTTTTGCTCAAAGCTAGTGCTCTACCACTTTAAGCCACAGCTCCACTTCTGGTTTTCTGGTGGTTACTTGGAGTTAAGAGTCTCACAGTCTTTCTGCCCAAGCTGGCTTTGAACTTCCATCCTCAGATCTCAGCCTCCTGAGTAGCTAGAATTACAGGTGTGAAGAAACCTTTTTAATACTAACCCTGTAAAAGAGTGGGGGCGGCTATATTCTTAAGCAGTAGCTTCCCACAATTGAAAGTATTTAAGAATCTCTACTTGCTTGTCAGAAATATTTTTTAAAAATCGTCATTCTATTGCCTTTTTCCCCTCTCCAATACCTTTTTCTGGCAGCATCTTACAGATAGACTACTTGGCTTTCTCTTTAAGAATTGCTAACATTTATTGACATTTACTATTTACTGCCACATTTCTTTTTTTACAGGAAAACACGACATGTAAACATCCTACTCTTCATGGGCTATTCCACAAAGCCACAGCTGGCTATTGTTACCCAGTGGTGCGAGGGCTCCAGCTTATATCACCACCTGCACATCATTGAGACCAAATTTGAGATGATCAAACTTATAGATATTGCACGGCAGACTGCACAGGGCATGGAGTAAGTTACATTCTATTACATCTTGTGCAAATTACTTTTAAAGATCCGTAGCAAAAGGCTTTGCTTGATATCTCTTAGGGACTGCATTTAAAATTATTTAGCAGTACAAGGACACCAGTGATTAGCAATATGATACTAAAAATAGTCTTTTCTAGTATAGTCTTCAAAACATCTAATAAAGTATATCAAGTACTTCATCATAAACTATTTAAAGTTTTGATTTAGCATTCAGTGGTATAGCTAAGTAGTAGAAACTCAAAAAATGAATAAATAGAACAGTAGGCCATAAAAAATAAAATATTAAAAAATCATTATAGTTGTTGAAGTATATAAAATAGTTTTCCTTGCAAATAATTTTCTTTTTAAAAAGTCCTGTTACAAAGTGGTCAGTTTATAAAGTTAAAATGAAATATTTATACCAAATTTTGCTATGTAATTTAAAATAATAGGGTTTATAAAATTATGTTTTAAAATAAAAAACTAGGGCTGGGAGGTGGCTCAGTGGTAGAGCACTTGCCTTGCATGCATGAGGCCCTGGGTTCGATTCCTCAGCACCACTAAACAGAAGAGGCCAGAAGTGATGCTGGGGCTCAAGTGGTAGAGTGCCAGCCTTGGCACAGAGAGGCTCAAGGACAGTGCCCAGGCCCTGTGTTCAAGCTCCATGACTGGCAAAAAAAAAAAAAAAGAGAGAGGGAAAGAAACTTGAAAACAATAATAAATAAATAGAATTAGCTAAGCATCTCGGTGTACTTCTGTAATCCCATCTACTGAGACTAGAGCTGGGACGATAGTGGCTTGCAGCTAGTCTTGGCAAAAGGTTAGCAAGGCCCCAGTCTCAACTAGTGAGGCAGTGATATTCACAGGTATGATGCTAGCAACGTGGGAAGCTTACAGATTTGGCCCTAAGCAAAACACTACTTGGATCCTTAAAATAAAGGGTTAAAGGGCTGGAATTGTGGTTGAAGTGGTAAAGGGACTGCCTAGCAAGCACAGTGCTTTGAGTTCAAATCTCAGCATTTCTCCTTGCCCACAGAAAAAAGATAAGAGCTGGGAATGTGGCTAAATGGCATAGTATTTGTCTAAAACCCATAATAACACTCACATACACTCTCTCTCTCTCCCTCTCTCTCTCTCTCTCTCTCTCTCTCTATATATATATATATATATGTATATATACACACACACACACACACATATATCACACATCTCATACACACAGAATAAAATTAAAAACTAGAAGTGGAAAGCTGGGTGCCGGTGGCTCGTGCCTATAATCCTAGCTATTCAGGAGGCTGAGATCTGAGGATTGCCATTCAAAACCAGCCTTGGCAGGAAAATCTGTGAAACTCTTATCTCCAATTAATCACCCAAAAAGCTAGAAGTAGAGTTGTGGCTCAAAGTGATAGAGCATTGTCCTTAAACAAAAGAACTCAGAGACAGCTCTCAGGCTCTGGGTTCAAATCCCACGACTACCCAAAAACAAACTTGAAAGTAGTTAGATGAAAAACAAACTTTGTAAGATATAAATTTAAGCTCTGTAAGTAGTCTTAAAATATGTACCTTATTTTAATGTCATAGAATGCAAATTATATTCTCTGGCTTAGATTTTGTTAATCCTTTTACTCTTACCGTGTTCTTTTCACAGATTAGCAAACCAAGGCTTTTAAGTAGCTTTTCTGAGGCTTCACATAGTAAGTGGCAGCCGGTGTTTTGACGCAGAATTGTAATTCCAGTGCCCTTGATCTATAACTACTATATTACTTGTACCCTGTAGAACTGGAATAAAGTGTATAAGTATATATATGTACTAATGTCTAAAACTCTTGACTTAATCACTCAGGGCAAGTAAACAAGGAACCACAACTCAAGCCAGATCTAATTCTTTAATTTCCCCCCTACCACCTTCCCTGACTCAAAACTAGGCAGTAGCCAGGCACCAGTGGCTTACCCCTATAATCTTAGCTACTCAGGAGGCTGAGATCTGAGGATCACAGTTTGAAGCCAGCCTGGACAGGAAAGTCACTGAGACACTATATTTCCGATAAACTACCTAGAAAAAAACCGGGAGCAGCACTGTGGCTCAAATGGTAGAGCACTAGACTTGAGCACAAAGAGGTTCAGGGACAGCGCCCAGGCCTAGAATTCAAGCCCCAGGACCAGTAAAAACAAACAAAACCCACTAGGTAGTATATCTGTAATACAAACTATCTACAAACCTCTGTTGAGCCAAAATGTTCCTTACAGCAAATTATTGCCTTATTCAGTAAGATTTATACTTACCTACTATGTTTAAATCAATCTCAGCCTTTAGGTAAGTTAGAATCTGAATCTAGCCAAATCTAAAAGATTGTATTAAGATTTTGTCTATCATAACAGTGAGAAACAAGTTGTAAACATTGAGAGAGAAATGAAGCTTTTCTCTTAAGAACTGTCTGTGTACTGTGTCTCCAGCAGGCCAAGATGTTCCTCCCTTAGCACTTCATACTTGTCCTTTCCTCTTTAGGATATTTGTGCTCTAAATATTATTTCTCTTTTCAAATGTCCCTCTTTTTTTTCTTTTTCAGTGTTTGTTTGTTTTGAGAGAGGTGTTCAGTCCAGAACATTTGAACTCAGGGCCTTATACTTGTTTGGCTTGCTTGCTCACAACTGGTACTCTACCACTTGAGCCATGACTCCACTCTGGCTTTTTGCTGGTCAGTTGGAATTGGAATCTGCCTGAGATGACTTCAAACCTTGATCTTCCAGATCAGCCTACTAAGCCTCCATAGTAGCTAGGATTAGAGGAGTGAGCTACCAACACCAAGCTTTTAAATGTTTCCTTTTAAGAGAAGCCAGCCAGGCAAGAGTGGCTCATGCCTGTAATCCTAGCTACTCAGGAGGCTGAGATCTGAGGATTGTGGTTCAAAGCCAGCCCGGGCAGGAAAGTCCATGAGACTCTTATCTCCAGTAAACCACTAGAAAACCAGAAGTGGCGCTGTGGCTCAAGTGATAAAATTCTTGCCTTGACCTAAAAAGTTCAGGGACAGTGCCCAAGCCCAAAGTTCAGGCCCCACAACAGACCAAAAAGAAAGAGAGAGAGAGAAGTCATTTCTGTTCACTTCATACAGTTAACTTGTCAATAACCCACTTCTATCCCCGTCTATACCCATTCTTTTCTCTTTTTTTCTTTTTTCTTTTTGATGTTTGTATATGTGTGTATGTGTGTGCATGTGTGTCTGTGCCTCACTTCAGAATCTTTTGTCCCCTGAACATTTTCTATATGCAGTTCAGTTATCTGACTTGTGCAGAATTCAAAGTCCCAACAAGAGAAGCAGAGTAAGAACATTGGAAAAATTGACTCATTAAATAATTGTCTGGGTTGCACTCACTTAAAAGGTCAAACCTTTAAGGACTAGAAAAGTTAAAACAATATAATATTCCAATGTGTATGTTTTATGGAATTACAAAATATGAACAAACAGTGGATGGGTGACTTTTTTCCTATGTGGGTATGTCTTTTGGTATCTTAAAGATCATTTCCGATTCTTAGGTTCACTTGAAGAGAGCAGTATCCTGTGGTAGGTAATTATAGATTCACTCTAAGGAATTGGGGTTTACAAAGTATGTTTTGTCATGTTCTCACCCGCCAGTCACTGATTCAATCCAAAAGCCAAAGTATTTCAAGAATATTGTCAGTAAATGATTGTGTTCAATTATTGATTGAGTAGGTGGTCTCCTGAACTTTTTCTTCTGCCCAGGCTGCCTTTGAACCATACCCCACACAAGCTCAGCCTCTCACACACATTGGTGTCATGTTACCCAAGCTATGTGGGAATCTGAGATTGGGAGGACTGTTATCTAGGCATACCCAGGAAGAAGCAAGACCCTATCTCAAAATAATGATTGCAGAAAAAGGTCAAGAGGCATGGGTCAGTGGCAGAGTGCCTGCATGGCAAAGCCTTGAGTTCAAACTTCAGTACTACCAAAAAAAAATTATATATATAAACACTAGTTTATTTTCTTTTTTTTTTTTTTTTGTCGGTCATGGGGGCTGAACTCTGGGCCTGGGCGCTGTCCCTCAGCTCTTCTTGAGCCATAGCACCACTTCCGGCTTTTTTCTATATATGTGTTGCTGAGGAATTGAACCGGACCTCATGCATGTGAGACAAGCACTCTGCCACTGAGCTAAGTGTCTTCAGTTTAAGGCAAGCGAGCACTCTACACTTGAGCCACAGCACCACTTCTGGTTTTCTGAGTGGTTTATTGGAGATTAAAAAGTCTCACAGACTTTCCTGCCCAGACTCCCTTTGAACCTCTATCCTCAGATCTCAGCCTCCTGAGTAGCTAGGATTACAAGTGTGAGCCAGAGTGCCCAGCTGATGATGTTATTTTTTTGGGGGGGGGTCCGGTCATGGGGCCTGAACTCTGGGCCTGGGCGCTGTCCCTCAGCTCTTCAGCTCAAGGCTAGCACTCTACCACTTGAACCACAGCGCCACTTCCAGCTTTTTTCTTTTTGCTTATGTGGTGCTGGGGAATCGAACCCAGGGCCTCAGGCATGCAAGGCAAGTGCTCTACCACTGAGCTACCTTCCCAGCCTCTGTTATTATTTTTTTTAATGGTAAATAAGAGAAGTAGCAGAATGGTATTCCCTTCCGTCTTACTTCCTTTTCATGTTGTGATTGTGAAGGGACCAGAGGGCATCAGAATAGAAGGAGACACTGTCACTGTGGTCATACTACCAGCCCAGACAGTAGCTAAATTCTCCATTATTGGCTAGGATATCTAGAAGAGATTCACTTTTATGCCTGAAGTCTGATGAACTTTTATAAAAAGAATTAGCTTTAAAAATGTATGACATGTATGAGACCTAACTAGTACCTAATCTAAGATTTTAGAAATACAATAGAATAAAACTAAACTTTTATGAGCCACTCAGAGCTTTTCCAAATAGACTAGGTTAGTAAAGCAGCCAGATAGTATGCCACAGTATTTGAATTTCAGGAAGCCATTTGATTGATACCTCTTAAGTAGTTTTTTTTTTTAATTTTTTTTTTTGTCGGTCATGGGGGCTGAACTCTGGGCCTGGGCGCTGTCCCTCAGCTCTTCAGCTCAAGGCTAGCACTCTACCACTTGAGCCACAGCGCCACTTCCGGCTTTTTTCTTTTTGCTTATGTGGTGCTGAGGAATCAAACCCAGGGCCTCGAGCATGCAAGGCAAGTGCTCTACCACTGAGCCACCTTCCCAGCCCCCAGCTACCTCTTAAGTAGTTTTAAAGATAAGGCCAAGGAAATGTAGCATAAATAGCCAAATTTAACCAGGTTCACAATCAGATGATCATCCTTGAGAAGATAGCAGTTTTCTGTCTTCATTCCTCTTGAATATTATGAATATATTTCAAAATGACTTAGATGAAGACAACATGATCATGTTGATCTTTTAAACCCTATTTTTAGGTTTTTACAATAATTTTAATAAGTTGAGGCCATGTCTACAAAATATAAGGTTATACCCACATGTTAAGTGTACAAAAGTATTTCCAGTTCAAACTGAAAATAATCTTATTGTCTAGAGTGAATATGACTCATTTCATAATTTTTATGAGGTGAAGATGAAAACTTCACTCTAGTTTGTGCTGGCTAAATCTGAATTAACTGTACTTAGTTTGGGCTATCATGTTCTCTACAAAGCTGGTTGGAAAGTGATCCTTGTATAAGAGCTTGGAAGAGAACAGATTTGGTCAGATGGTTTTGCTGCTATACAATGATTCTGTGAAGTAGAACTGTGGCTCAAAAAAGTAGAGCACTATCCTTAAGCAAGGAACTCAGGGATAGCACTCAGGCCCTGAGTTCAAGCCCCACAACTAACAAAACAACAAACAATAAATAAGAAATGTTTCTGTAAGTGGACATTTTATCCTAGGAAGGATAGTCCTAAGAGAATTCTGAGAAGGAAATGTCATACTTATGTAGGTATGTTGTTCTTTCCTGGTATTGCTATAAACCTGTGCCCTCTCCTTAACAACTTTAAAGGGGAGGAGAGGACCATTATTTAGAATTCTACACTAAATAGTAGAAAGTATAGTATTCTGTATCTGGTTTATTATTGAAGTTTATTATAGACCATTCAGTTTATTGCTGCTGCTGCCCCCTAACCAGTTACATAGTTTTGTGTTTTGGGGTTTTTTGTTTTATGGTTTATATGGAAACCATTTGGTACTCAAGAAATGGTTTCATTGTCAATTTGTATAGAATTGTTTAGGGCAATAATTATTCTGAAACATGATACAGGGACTAGGTATAATACCTATCTCATTTTTCTAGCTTTTAACATAACTCAGACTGACTGTGATCTCAAAAGGATGTGGGGGTTTTTTTTGGGGGGGGTTGTTGTTTTTTGGTTTGGGTTTTTTTTTGTTTTGTTTTGTCAGATGTAGGGCTTGAACTCTGGGCCTGGACGCTGTCCCTCAGCTCTTCAGCTCAAGGCAAGTGCTCTAACGCTTGAGCCACAATGCCACTTCCGGTTTTCTAGTGGTTTTTATTGGAATCTCACAGACTTTCCTGCCCGGGCTGGCTTTGAACCGTGATCCTCAGATCTTAGCCTCCTGAGTAGCTAGGATTACAGACGTGAGCCAAAGGCGCCAAGCTAAAAGGATGTATTTTTAACAAGGGCCCTGTAGATCACTGGTTCCAACTGCCCTCATAGACAGAGCAACAGCAAGACACTCCTAATCTAGACCATCAGTTAACAGCCAAAGACTGACTTTGACTTCGTATTTTGGGGAGAGGTGGGCAGGGAGGAACAAGTGATAGGCTGCAGTTAACTGTAAGCACTGAGGACATTCAAAAGGACCTTAAATTGTGGATGTGATCACAAGGTCTCTGAGAGAAAAATTTTCAGCTTTCTGGTGAGTTGTAAGATTAAAGTAGTACAACAAGGTCAAAGAATGTCACAACCTTAGGTTTTGAGTATACCACCACCTAAGGATTATTGAAAGGAATCATTCCAGCCTAAGTCGAGTCAACAAAATAGTTTCTGAAACAATAGCTCTGGGGGTCAGGTCTAATCCAGTAAACAACCACAACCCCTGGACAGTGACTCTGCCCCACAAGCCTCTCACACTTCAATAAACTTGGGCTAGAATAAAGATAAAATTGTCTCTATAATCCTAGAAACCTTCCTTTGGTCTACTGGAAGAACATTCTTCACCTAATTAGTTTTCCTATAATTTTTGCTAAAAAAAGAAAAAAAAGAACAACCTCCAAGAGCAAACAAACAAAACCTACCTTATTTCTTGTGTGTTTTTTAATTAATAAGAGGAGTTGCCATTGCATGAATCGGGTAATGAATACATTCTTGGACAGTGTCACCGCTTCTTTTGCTTTCCTCCCGTGCCTGCCCACAAGTTACATAGGTCATTTTCCACATTGTGTATACTGAATACTATGATTGCATTTGTTCACCATCCTTCCCTCCCTTTCTGTGGCCCCTCTTTGCCCCCCTAAAATAAAAAAAACACCCAAAAGCAAAAACAAATACTTCCTCCAACAAGAAGAACAAAAACACTCATGTTTCCATTTCCTGGAATTTGTGTAAATAAATAATATTTTAAGTGTTCAGAGAAGATATACCTTTGGGTTCCTCCCCTGGAGGTGGTACCCTCCTTTAGCTTGTATAATTTTTTTGTGTAGTTTTTTTTTACCTAATTTCATAATTCTCTTTCTGTAACTTGTCTGTAACCAAAATGGTAAAAAATAGAAGTCCAGCCAGACACTGATGGCTCACACCTACAATCCTAGCCACTCAGAAGACTGAGATCTGAGGATGGTCTTTCCAAACCAGCCCAGACAGGCAAGTCTATGAGACTCCAAATAACTATTCAAAAAAGCCAGAAATAGAGTTGTAGCCCAAGCACTAACCTTGAGCAAAAATTCTCAGGGATATTACCCAGGCCTGAGTTCAAGCCCCCAGAACCGACATTTAGAAGAAAAATAAAAGTCCAACTTTTTTCTTAGTAGTCATTGTTGATCTAAGAAATCTCATATATTTGCTTTTCCTAGTTAGTATTAAATAAAGAAAAATAACTAGGACACTGTATGCATCATGTAGTAGTCTATTCAACAGGTATGTAATGAAACTTCACACATAGGAGGCCCCTACCAGGCAATGAGGACAAGTGGAAGTAACCTAAACACCGACCTTTCTATCCCTCAGTGAATACAACTAAAGCAGTTTTCAGAGATGTCATAGTTGATTTAACTTTATCATTGATTTTAAAGTAGATCCCTTGTGATCATTATAGAGGATATTTGCTCCTGCCTAGTTTTAATAAGATTTTAAGAATATATTATACTATTTCAAAACTATAATTTACTAACTTTCATATTCTTATGGAGTTTGAATTGTAAATAACAAAATAGGAACATGGAAAAAACATGAATCAAGCTGTTACAACTTCCACATAAAATGAATAGTGAAAGATTATTGGATTAGTCATAGGAAAGCTTCAGTCAGGAGTTAAAATATGCGATGATCTAAAAGGATGGGTATGAATAAGTGAAAAATATATTGAAAGCTTATTTGGGAGATAGGTTCAAGAGGGGAGCATTTAACACAGAGGTAGAATCTAAGTATTAAACTATAGTTCAAGGATGTGAATAAGTAGACATTAATGGAGTGGAAAGTTATAACTAGTAAAAAGGTAAAGTACAAGTCTTAATAGAAAAGATTCTGTTTGTACAGAATGGTAGTATGTCTTAATAATCCTAAATTTATTTACAGTCAATTTTAATACATTGTAAAGAAGTTATCAAATTGTACAGATTTCATTTGTATCATGATTCTAATAAGTCTTTACATCACTGAATATGTTTTGTAGAGTTTGAGGCTAGAAGCAATTAGCCCTACTCAGGTTAAAATGATGTTTTGTTTTTCAGTTATTTACACGCCAAGTCAATCATCCACAGAGACCTCAAGAGTAATAGTATCCTTTCTGAAATTGGTCTTCGAAGTTCGAAAACATCCTGACTTTTTCTTCTGCATTTTGTCTTCACATTATGTAAAAAGTCTTCATGTTAAGTTCAGTATGCTGTAAAGAAAATAAATTAGTTTGCATGAGAGTATAATAGCAGGATGCATCTACCTGCTTTTTGTTTTTGAATAGGCACTACAAGAAGATGGAACCAAAAGTCTATACTAATAAGACTTTTCTGATTGCTTGTTTACATTCTGTCTGCATTATGAAATGAATTTTTGTGGCTGTATACTAGTATACTTCAGCCCCCTGACCTTGCTAAGTAGCAGTAGAAAACTGAAGGCTCTAAAATTACAGGATAGTGAGTTGAAAAAAAAAAACACATTTTTTTTTACGAAGCCCAGACTTAGATCCTGTCTGATGCCATCTTAATTTAATAAAGAGCCTTAGCTGCTTACAGCAGTGCTAACTGGTACCTCGATCTCCATCTGACCCAAATCAAATTAAAAAGTTTTGGGTCTCCCATGGGCTCAGGAAATCATCTCATCTCATTATCATACAGTTTAAGTCCATAAAAATATTTAAAGCAAATCATATAAGCTAAAGAGAACTAACTCTCCGTTTTTGAAGTACTCTTTTTAAAAAGAACATATTATAGATTTATAGAAACTGGATCTCTTACCTAACATCTTCAAAATGCTTGCTCTAATAGGAAATGAGATCTATTTTTTTTTTCCTTTACTTACTACACCTCAGATATATTTCTTCATGAAGACCTCACGGTAAAAATAGGTGATTTTGGTCTAGCCACAGTGAAATCTCGATGGAGTGGGTCCCATCAGTTTGAACAGTTGTCTGGATCTATTTTGTGGATGGTAAGAATTGAGGATGTTTTTCTGTTGATTAAATTTTTGTATCCTGAGATGCTTCTGAGTTACTAGAAAGTCATTGAAGATTTAAGATACAATATTTTTTGTAATTCCCACTATTTACAAAAGTCAATGCTGCTCTAGTTTTTATGTAAATAAGTTTTAATGTTTCTCTATCTTTAAGAAGAATATTACAAAATTAGTTTCATGATAACATTTATTATGGAGTATTTCCATTTTATTCAAAATTGTCGGTTGAAAATGTCAATGTTCAAAATGTTCTGGCTTTTGTTAGTTAGTTGGAGGTAAGGAACTTGAGGATTTGTCTACCCAATCTGGCTTTTGAATCTCAGTTCTCAGATCTCAGCCTTCTGAGTAGTGAAGATTGCAGGCATGAGCTACTGGCACCTGGGTATGTTCAATAGTTTATTTATTTCTGTTGGTCATGGAGCTTGAACTGAGGACCTGGGCACAGTCCCTAAGCTCATTTGCTCAAGGCTAATGCTCTACCACTTTGAGCCACAGCACCACTTCCAGTTTTCTGGTGGTTAATTGGAGATAAGAGTCTCACAGACTTTCCTACCCAAGCTGGCTTTGAACCAGGATCCTCAGATATCAGCCTCCTGAATAGCTAGGATTACAGGCATGAGCCACTGGTGCCTGGCTATGTTCAGTAATTAATAGTGAAGTCCTGAAATCAAAGAATTTGAAGACCACAGCTAAAAATCTGTGGTACAAATTTAAGTTTTTAATAATTTAATCTACACTTAGGACTTTTGCGATGGCCTGCTGAAAGCAGAAAAGTTGAAATTATTTTCAAAGCAGTCTGCCTAAATTCCCTGACTACATGGAGTAGCAGTCCCCAAGAAGGAAATTCTAAGGCAGTAGTTTGAGTATCAAGCTAAGCATAGGGCTAAATTGAATATCATTATTTGTGACAAATAAATGAAATTAGGGAAAGTGGCAAAGAGGAATAAAGGACATTAGGAGACTCTTAACTCTTGTTAGGAGACCTATACTGTATTACTCTAGTCATTAACCTACAGATGTCTTAACCTCCTCTAAGTTACCTCATATAAAATATTGTGTTGGGCTAGTAGACTTCTTAGGCCTTTTCTAAGATTCAGTAATTATAATATGAGTTTAAATTTTTACTAATTTTAATTACTAAGTATAAATGAGAGGCTAATTATAATCATAATCTCAAGGCAAAGAAGGGAAGGATCATGGTTCAGGCTAGGTATGATAGTTCACACCTGTAATCCCAGCTGTATGGGAGATAGAAGTAGGAGGATCACTGACAGGCCAAACCCAAATCAAAGCACAAGAACCTATCTGAAAAATAAATCAAAAGTGACTGGGGGTGTGAGTCAAGTGATGAGCACAAGGCCCTGAGATCAAACCGAAGTTTAAAAAAATCTTAATAGTTAAAGTCCTGGTTGCCAGGCACTTACCTGTAACAAACATGACAGAGAATCCTAAAATGATGGGAGGAGTGGCATTTTCAGTACTGAAATCATAGACCCTAAAACTAAAAACAAACCACTCACTTGCTTTAAAGATGTATTTATTTGAACTAAAATGGAAGAACTGAACTCAGTCAAATCTTCAGATTTGTCCTTAATTTTTCAAAAACTTTAGCTTATGTAGTTAATAGAATATTACATAGGAAGTTTTGTATTTCCTTCTGTTTACTTTTTTGTTGGTACCTGGATATATGAATTCTTTTATTCTGCCATGCTGAATTTTAGGATAAGAGACTAGACAATCATATGATTCATTATTGAATCTTTTGGGTGGATCTTTTCAGAGAGAATAATTTGTCCAAAACTAAGGTTATATTGTCCTGGGTGTGTTGTTTTTTGTTTTTTCTTTTTTTGGTTGTTTGTTCTTATGATACTGGGGTTTGAACTCAGGGCTTTATGTTCTTGGCTTGCTTGTTCTACCATACCTCCAGCCCCCTCTGAATTATTATAGTAGTCTTCTCCACTTTCTTTTGTTTGATCTTAAAATGAAACCTTTGTAAATATTTTTACAAAATCACTAAGTTGAAAATCAGTAACATATTTTTAAGTAGACTTTAAATAGATGGTACAACTTCATATCAAGACATCTCCAAACAACAGTAAATAAAACTAAATTCAAAAAAAAATTGTTCTTAAACAGATGTACATCCTGATCCTCAAAAAAAATCATTTCAGACTGAAAACTATGTGTTTATCAGCAGTACCTCTTAGCATTCTGACTTGTTCATCACAGTTTATTTGATATACTATATTACTAAAAAGTATCTCTCAACAAAATATATGATACAACCAAGTATATAAGACTTTCTCTCTGACTCCCTTCAGGATCTCACACAGATATTCTATCCATGGCTTGAAATTTTTGATTGGACTATAGATGTCAGCTGGGGGGCTTTGCAGACTAAAAATATCTGGGTCCCACCACCAGGTTCTGATCTGTCCCTGGGCTGGAGTGCAGTTAGCAGAGAAGTTTAAGTGTTCAGTGGGTGATTCTGCCTTTCATATGCAATTGAGTAACATTTTTCCTTATGTAAGGTCTAGTAACAAGAATCTTGTCTTCCAACTATTTTTGCAATTGGTACTGCTTTTGCTATCAAATTAATATATCCTTTCACTTTTTTTTTAACAAAACTGTGCAAGAGGTGCAAAGTGAAAGAAGCTAATTGTTACCAGTCATTTACTGTACTTTATGTAATTAAGAAATCTAGGGCCAGGCTCTGGTTGCTTACACCTGTAGCTACTCAGGAAGCTGAGTTCTGAGGATCACAGTTCAAAGCTAGCCCAGGCAGAAAAGTCCATGAGACCCTTTTCTCCAATAAATTCTCAGAAAAAGCAAAAAGTGGCTCTGTGGCCCAAGTGATAGAACACTAACTGTGAGCAAAAGAAGCTCAAGGACAGTGCCCAGGCCCTGAATTTGAGTCCCAGGACTGGCAAAATGTGTGTGTGTGTGTGCAAAAAATGTGTGTGTGTGTGTTTCATTACAGCAAGTATGATTTGATCTGTTTCCCCAAGAAGGAGCAACCAAAACATTCTTTACACAAACTTCTACTAAATCTATCTGCTGTTACTTTTGTTAAAGTACCCTGAGAATAAGGAAAATCACTGATCCCAATGAGAAATGTTAAGTCTTAAGACAATTACTACAGTAGTTGTGCCTGCTCCAAGCCTCCTAACAACCACAGGTCTAGTATTTCTTTGCTGAATCAGGAATGGGAAGTGGAAACTGATTCTGGTAGGGTTAGTTTTGGAATATATTCAAATGACAATAGTGATATTTTGTTGGAAAGGAGAGTCACAGCAATAAAATCTCAGTAATGTATTATAGAAAATCAGGTAAAATAGCCTCTTTAAGAGTTGCTTTTTCTTTTTTTCCTTCATCTTAATGGTTTTTATTTCTTTGGCCATTAATAGAATTATTTACATAGTGGGTGGGGGATTTTTGTGATCCAGCAGTACTCTGGAAATTATCATAGTTTGTATTTCAGAAATCTTCATTCACTAGAAGAATAACCTCAAATGTTTTCTTCTATTCTAACAGGCACCAGAAGTAATCAGAATGCAAGATAAAAACCCATACAGCTTTCAGTCAGATGTGTATGCATTTGGAATTGTTTTGTATGAATTGATGACTGGCCAGTTACCTTATTCAAATATCAACAACAGGGACCAGGTAAATATTTGTCATCTCCTTCGTGTTATTTCAGTATGTTATAAGTATTTAGTTAGTATTTATTCAATACTTTTATTAGGAAGTAGAGTCCTGGGTGAGCATTGATAGATACTTGATCTTAGGATCAGTTTTAGAAATCTTTTATATACTTTTGGCAGTCACAGCATGTAAAACTTTTCCTTGAAATGTTGGTCTTGAATGTTGCAGTGGAGTCAAATTACCAACTTTGTGACTAGAGACAAGAGATTAAACAAAGCCTTAGAGGGACAGTTACATTTTGCTTTGTTTTCTCCATGATAAGAATTCTTCCAGGAGGCTGTTTTTTACTTCTACTTCTTTCTTTTCTATGTTCTTTTTTTCTATTCCTATAATCTGATATTTTAAATTTGCATGATATAGGAACAAATGTTAACCAAGGAACATAATCGAAATAATGCACTTATTGTACATGTTGTAGATTATTATAACTGAGGTGTTGAATTGATGATGGCAGTCTGATTATCAAAATTGCCTGATTTTGAAGTGTCATATGCTTCACTTTTTATGAAAGATCTTCTTAAACCAACCATATAGCATAGCACCCGGTACCCACTTTTCCTATGTATATTATTTTTCTGGAGGATTTGCTGAGGAGTTCTAGTTCTGTTTAGTCAAATTTGTGAACCTTAGATCTGGATGAAATGTATTTGTAAGTGAGTAAGCTTATTTTTAATAAAATATACAATTATTATTTGAAATATTATCTCCAGAATATAGATAAAAGCATCCCAGAGTTCTGCATTCATCCACTTCTTGGCATTTTAGGTGCTTTGTCCTCCAAGGGAGTATTATAAATGATGTGGAAAGGGCTTACTCTCCATGAGAGAAGTAAGTGAGTGACCAGCAGAAGGGTAAGGCTTTTTCTAGTTAATTCTTTCTAATAGTTTAGTTAGCGCCCCTAGACTTTGCCAGTTTAATACCTACTTAAATATTTGATAAGGAAGATGTAACAAATTATATATTCTTTTCACTGCCCATATTCTACTTCATTACTGTAGAGGAGCCAGCTTTCTTCAAATGGTACTTTCTGTGGAATTCTTCGTTTTGGAAAATGTCTCTGGTCATCCTCAGATATTGCTCCATTCATTCCCTGCTTACATTTTATGTCACTTTCTCTTGTGCCTTGATCTCTGTGGCTTTCAAATTAAACTTCTCTTTAAGAATCCAGGAGTATTTTTCTTTTACATGGGAGTTGGGACAGCTGTTTCTTTATGTAGTGGTGGTACCTTCTCCCTAAACTCTCGCCTCCGACAGGGCTGGTAAGGCAGGCATTGGGCCCAAGACTTGCATCACTTGATCTCACCTCTTTAGGCATTTTTTTTCAATACTGAAAATGTTTGAACTAGACAGAGGTTTTTCTAGCTCTTCAAATAAGATTATTTATTAAGCTAGTTCTCTTATATTCTGAAGGATGACTATATGACTTTGAAAGAGTACATCCTTCCTTTACTTTCTCTAGCATTGAAAATCTGTGAAATCGTGTTTTGTCTGATCTTTTTTTTCTCCCTTTTGTTGTCACCATGAACTCAGAGCCTGGGCACTGTCCCTGAGCTATTCTAAAGGCTAGCACTCTACCACTTGGAGCCACAGCTCCACTTCTGGTGTTTTGGAGATAAGAGTCTCACAGGACTTTTCTGCCTGGGCTGGCTTTGAACCGTGATTCTCAAATCTTAGCCTCCTGAGTAGCTAGGATTATAGGGCCACCAGCACCCAGCTATTGTCTGATATCTTGATAGGGTCTTACTATGTAGTTCAGGCTGGCCTGAACTGATGATCTTTCTTCCTCTGCTTTACAAGTGCTGGGGCTACAGGTGTACACCACTGCACCTGGCCTAAATGTGATTCTGTTGGTTGGTTGGTTTGGTTTGATTGCAGCATTGGGGATCAGACTTAGAGTCTTAGGATTACTAAGCATGTGATCTACCACTAAGTTATATCCTTAGCCTTCCCTCTCTTTATCATTTCATTTCCCTTGCCTTTCTCTTTCAGTTCAGCTTTACTACTAAATTGGGATTAATTATGTCTTATTTAAAATAATTGTATTGACTATACCATATACTAAACCCAGAATGTAGTCTGTGAGGATGTGAGGAAGGTTCATCTGTTTCACATAGTCTCAGAGTATCTTGACTAGGTATTAAAAAGATCTCCTTCCTAAATAGTATGTTCATAAGGCTGGCAAGCTGGTACTGGCTGTCAATTTGAAGTTTACTTAGGAACAAGAGGTAAACAGCTCATCTTTTTCTCCTCGTGACCCTTCTGTGAGGACTTCTTCACGTGCTGTTTGGTCTCTAGTGACACAATGGTTGAGTTCTTACCACAAAATTTTACAAGAAATGATAAGTATTAGCATCTTACCAATATACAAATTACTTAACAATGTTTTTAGTACCTGCTCTGTACAAAGCACTGTGGAATATAGAAAGTTCACGGGTGAGAGCTCTAGCTATGTACCATCCTGAGGGGGAACCTATTGACTGAGACTGAAATACTCTTTAAGAACCTGAAAACAAGGGCTGGGAAGGTGGCTCTGTGGTAGAGCGCTTGCCTTGCATGCACGAGGCCCTGGGTTCAATTCCTCAGCACCACATAAGAAAAAAGAAAAAAGCCGGAAGTGGCTCTGTGGCTCAAGTGGTACAAGCACTAGGGAAGAACCTGAAAACAAGGAACATTTTCCAAGTCAGGGAGCATCATGGGAATCCAACACACACACACACACACACACACACACGCACGCATGCACGCACTGTTTAGGTGGGACACAGCTAGGAGAGAAAAGTCAAACTGAGACCTGGGAATCCAACACACACACACACGCGCACGCGCGCACGCGCACGCACGCTGTTTAGGTGGGACACAGCTAGGAGAGAAAAGTCAAACTGAGACCTGCTGTGAACACTGAGTAGTGGTAAGCTCAGACTGTGAAGGGTGTGGTGATCGATGACCTTGACATTAGCATGAAATGAGCCCCATTGCTTGTGAAGCTCCACAAAGACTTGAAAACCCAAGGCTGTGGCTAAAGGATGACTGGGTCTCCAGAGTTGCCTTCCTGTCAAGTGTGGTTGCTGCCAGGCAGACCATGCTCTGTGCCCAGCTTCCTCCCCCCACTCGTGGAGACTTGTGGCTGGGCAGGTCTGAAAGCTCGGAGACCAGCAGGCACAATGCCCCATCCTCTAATTCTTCCCCTTCAATGAATAACTGATGATTCTTGTTTGCTGTATCTACTTTCCTATGCACTGAAAGGAAACACTACCAACACATAGAAAGATGTATTTTTGAATGGTCAGTGGGCCTCTGAAGAAATTGGAGAAGATATGGAATATTTCCTATGGGCTGGGAAGGTGCCTCAGTGGTAGAATGCTTGCCTCGCATGCATGAGGCCCTGGGTTCGGTTCCTCAGCACCACATAAACTGAAAAGGCCAGAAGTGGTACTGTGGCTCAAGTGGTTGAGTGCTAGCCTTGAGCTGAAGAGCTAAGGGACAGCGCCCAGGCCCAGAGTTCAGGCCCCACAACCACCCCCCCAAAAAAAAAATTCCTAAATTAAACCAAAGCAGTAATAGTCTCCTAGATAAGAAGAACTCTGGACCAAATAGACTCATGGCTGAATTCTGCCATAGCTTTTAAAACACACACCCCAAAGCTCAAACTATTTCATAAAATAGAAAAAGAAGGAATATTAAGAAACTGATTATATGAAGCTATCAACTAAATAAATACACAGTTCAAAGACTGTGGACCAGTTCCCTAGACATAGGCACAAAAGTGCTTAATGAAATACTTGTAAAATATATTCAGCAGCACATTTCCAGTTGGCAGCTGGCACATAACCAAATTGCTTTGATTCTGAGGATGCAAAGATGAGTCCACACATGAAAATCCTTAAACAAATATAGAACAAATAATAAAAGGTAAAATGTAATATCTCTTCATAATAAAAACCCTCAGGAAACAAGAGCTAGAAAATATCTCAATATAATAAAAAAAAAAGTACTAAATGGGGAAAAATTGAAAACATTTCTTCTAAAGTCAGGAATGAGGCAAGGGTGACCACTGTCTCCACTCTTACTGAATATAGTGCTTGAGTTCTTAGCCACAGCAATAAAAGAGGAGATAAACAGAAAAGCTTGATGAAAAGCTTGATTTTTATTTGCAGATGATGTGATCTTATACTCAAAAGACCTTAAAGTCTCCATCAAAACTATTAAATTCTGGGACTTATTAACCTGTGTCTCAAGTGAAGAAATGCCTACCTAGCAAGCACAGGCCTTAAATGAAAGCGTCAGTATTACATCCACCACCACGGCCACCCAAAAAGAATAACAAGTGAAAGAAACGGAAGAAAAAAGATTAGATCTTAAAACACTTTTAAAAATAGGAAGATATGAAGTCAGCATAGAAAAATCAATAGCTTTTCTACATACTGAATGTAGAGTTTAATAAGGAAAACAATTACATTCACAATAGCCTCAAAAAAAAAACTAGGGGTAAATTTGACATAGGGAATGATAGGCCTTTGCAATTGAAACTATAAAACATTGTTAAAAAATGAAGATATTAGCCAGGCACTGGTGGCTCATGCCTGTAATCCTAGCTACTCAGGAGGCTGAAAACTGAGGATCATGGTTCAAAGCCAGCCAGGGCAGGATAGTCCATGAGACTCCAATTAACCACCAGAAAACAGGAAGTGGCACTCTGGCTCGTGTGGTAGAGCGTTTGCCTTGAGCTGAAGAGTTCAGGGACAGTGCCCAGGCTCAGAGTTCAAGTCTCATGACTGACCAAAAAAAGTGAAGATATTAGAAGATGGAAAGAACTTCCTCATTCATAGACTGACAGAATTAATATTGTCAAATGGTTATATTGCTGAAAGTGATTTATAGATTTAATTCAGTTCCCATCAAAATCCCAGTAACATTCTTCATTAAAAAAAAAAAAGATACAGAAATTCATATGGAAGTATAAAAGACCCAGAATAGCTAAAGCAGTTCAATCTTAGAATAAACTAGAAATTCTAGAAATTATATTTTCGACAATTAAACATAAGATAAAATGTTTTTCAGATGGAAACTTAAAAATACACAGATATACTATTTTCCAAATTTTCTTCAGGAGTAATATGAGAGAAAAAATGAAAGATTGTTCCAGGGGGTAGGGAGTGTAAAAAATTTTTTTTAAAATGAAAGATAGCTCTCACGTTTTTATATATTCCATAGAACTTAGTGCAGAGCACAAAGCAGGCGCAAAGCAGGTAGCTCTTGGTGCTAGGTTTAGGGGCTGACTGATGAACAGACTTTCCTCCAAGTAGAAGTGTTATGATATACATATACATTACGAAACCAATACTCAGCTTATAATTCTAGAACTGTTCTTAGTCTAAGAATACTCTTAGGACTCAGCATCTCCAACCCTTCATTCACCTTCACTAGGATAACTCATGCTGATTTTTAGTTACACCTCCTGTACTGCCCAAACAGAACTGTAAACTCCACTGAGATGTTAGCTCCTAATGTTTTCATCTTTCCTCTGACTAGGCTGCAGTTATCAGAATGTGTAACCAAATATCTCATTAGAATTTCCACAGCAGCCCAACACTGCTGGCTCATGCCTGAAATTCAAACTACTCAGGAAGCTGAGATCTGAGGATCGAGGTTTAAAGCCAGCCTGGGCAGGAATGTCCATGAGACGCTTATCTCCAATAAACCACTCAGAAAATCGGAAGTGTTGTGGTGATGTGGCTCAGGTGGTAGAGCGCTCGCCTTGAGCTGAAGAGCTGAAGGATAGTGCCCAGGCCCAGAGTTCAAGCCCCGCAACCAACAACAACAAAAAATTCTTTACGCTGTTTTATAGTTTCAATGTATTATGAATTTATTCACCCTTTATTTTTCTTTTTCTCTTCCTTCCCCATATTTTCCTAACTAGTCCCTAAGTAAGATTCATGTTCTATGTTACCAATATGTATACAGTTATGTAAATATATATAGGTATGGCCATATTCCATATTCATGAATATCTATGTCTTTTAGGTCTAACTTTCACATCTGAGTGAAAACACACAATATCTTGTTTTGTGAGTTTGGCTTATCTTACTCAATAATATCTCATTCAGTTCCATCAGTTTTCCTGCAAAATATAGAATTTTTTTAAATTAATTTATTTTTTTGTTGGTCATGAGGCTTGAACTCAAGGCCTGGACGCTGTCCCTGAGATTTTTTGCTCAAGGCTAGCACTTTACCACTTTGAACCACAGGTCCACATTTTTTGTTTTTGGTGGTTAATTTTGAGATGAGTCTCACCAAACTTTCGTGTCCAGGCTGGCTTTGAACCACAATCCTCAGATCTTAGCATCCTGAATAGGTAGTTATTTTGCATTATGGCCTTCATATTCTATAATATGCATCTATGTATGCGTGTATGCACACATACATACAAATCATACCTTCTTTATTCATTCATCTGTTATTGTACACCATGGCTCATTCTCCATCATTTGGCAATTATGAACAGTGCTATAATAACCACAGATATTCAGGTGTCTTTCTAATGTATTCATTTACTCTCCTTCAGATATATGCCCAGTTAATGGAAAGGTGGGTCCATACAAAAGGCCTATTTTTAGATTTTTGAGGAACCTCCATACTGATTTCCATCGTGGTTGCAGTAGTTTACATTCCCATCACAGGGCATGAGGGTAGGGCATGAGGGTTCCTTTTCCTCTACATCCTCACCAACATTTGTTATTTTATGTCCTTAATGGGTACCATTCTGACTCGCCCATGTAATTCTTTTAAGGGAAGAAGAAGCAATAGCATATCTGTGCTTCAGTGTGATGATTGTCCTGTCCATGGAAACATGGACTGGATAAAGAGAGACAAGCATAAAAGGAACAGTTAAGAGGCCTTTGCTAAGTCCCAGAGTGATAAAGATTTGAACTTCAGCCCATTTAGTTTGGGATTCCCCATCATCTGTGATGTGTAGGAATCTAAAATACTCATTTTTTTTATTTTAACATCTTTTTTTATTTTAACTTCTTATTAAAATGAACGAACATACAGAAAAAGCACGGCTGTCATAGTATACATGTTGCTTAGTTTCCATTGTTTATGTAGTTGAACTTACATGCAAGGTTGTATGATCTTTATTTTTCTCCAGATAATTTTTATGGTGGGACGAGGATACCTGTCTCCAGATCTCAGTAAAGTGCGGAGCAACTGTCCGAAAGCCATGAAGAGATTAATGGCAGAGTGCCTCAAAAAGAAGAGAGATGAGAGACCGCTCTTTCCCCAAGTAAGGAAAACTTCACAATACTTAGAAAAACTAACACTGACAGGTGGATTTTTTAGTAGCTTTTTGGAGACACAGTTTGTATTTCATGGGTTTAAATTCTCTGTGATTATGTGTGTACTCCATAGTCAGGTGAAACTATGAGAATGACTTTGAAAGGTCAAGCACAACTTGGGATTCTAATATAAAAGCAGATTTTAAAGGACTTGCTGTAAGTTAACTTCTTGGTCTTGAAATCCTTTTACATATTTTTTTTATATAATTTTATTGTCAAGGTGATGTACAGAGGGGTTACAGTTAGATAAGTAAGGTAGTGAGTACATTTCTTGTCGAACTTGTTACCCCCCTCCCAGTTTTCTCCCACTTAACCTTCCCCCAACCCTTTTTTACATATTTCTTTTTTTTTCTTCTGTTGGTCATTGGACTTGAACTCTGGGCCTGGGCACTGTCCCTCGGCTCTTCAGCTCAAGGCAAGCACTCTACCACTTGAGCCACAGTGCCACTTCCGGTTTTCTAGTGGTTAATTGGAGATGAGAGTCTCACAGACTTTCCTGCCTGTGGGCAGGCTTTGAACTATGATCCTCAGATCTCAGCACCCTGAGTAGCTAGGATTACAGGCAGGAACCACCGGTGCCTGGCCCTTTTTATATATTTCTAACCAACACACACACACACACCCCTTCTAGTGAGAAAAGTGATATCTTCACTTTTTCAAGTGTCTTTGTAAAAAAGAAGACAGATTCTCTATTTGGCTTCACTACTTTGCAATATCTCTTATCATGTTACAGTGACCTCAAAAGGCAAATACTATCTTGTTATTGTGAAAAGTGTTTTGACTTGTGGACTTGCTACAGGTCCAGAAGCGATGCTTTTCAGACTGCTTCTTTAATTCTTCTTGATGGTAAAACAAGCAGATTCCAAGCATCTCTCTCATACTAGCTCTTTCTGAGGTCCCTAAAGGGGACCATCAAGGCAATTATACCAGGGGCAAAAGAAAAATCACTGTCAGAGCATCTGCCAGACTCTGATTCTCTTTTTCTCATAGTGAAGGCCAAAGCCCTTAAATTAATCTTCAGTACACCCTTCAAAGATCTTGATATGGTGGTACATCTAGATCAAGGGGAGTATTGCTTGAGCCTAGGAGTGTAAGGCCAGCCTGAGCAACATAGGAAGACCCAGTCTCAAATAGAAAACCGGAAAGAATGAGGGAAGAAGGAAGGCAGGCAGGCAGGCCCCCCAAAAAAACTGAACAGAAACATGTAAGAAAGTTTAGGTGTAAGCCAGGTGCTGGTGGCTCATGCCTGTAATCCTAGCTACTCAGGAAGCTGAGATCTGAGGGAGGGTTGCAGTTCAAAGCCATCCAGGGCAGGAAAGCCTTGAGACTCTTTTCTTTTGTTTTTGTTGGTCGTGGGGCTTGAACTCTGGGCTTGGGCGCTGTCCTTGTGCTCTTCAGCTCAAGGTGAGCGCTCTACAGCTTGAGCCACAGCATCACTTCCGGTTTTCTAGCGGTTTATTGGAGATAAGAGTTTCGTGAACTTTCCTGCCTGGGCTGGCTTTGAACCAAAATCCTCAGATCTCAGCCTCCTGATTAGCTAGGATTACAGGCATGAGCCACTGGTGCCTGGCTCCTTGAGACTCATATCTCCAATAAACCACCGGAAAACCACCGGAAGTGGTGCTGTGGCTCAAGCGATAGAATGCTCACCTTGAGCTGAAGAGCTGAGTGACAATGCCCGGGCCCAGAAATAAGCCCCACCACCAACAAAAATGAAAGAAAAAAAGAAAAAGAGAGTTTAGCTGTAATAAGTATTACACTATAAAGGCAGTATTTTCTGTTACTTTACCTTGATTAATAGTTTCAAATGGGAAATGCTAACTTCCATAGTTAGTCTACCATAATTAGTGAAATGTTCTTCACCTTGTGACTTTGAATATTAAGTCCTGAGGTACTTAGAAATGTTTGAGATTCACTTATCCTTTATTATTATTTGATTTTTTTTCTCTTAAGAATTAAAGAGGGGCTGGGAAGGTAGCTCAGTGGTAGAGCACTTGCCTTGCATGCTCGAGGCCCTGGGTTCGATTCCCCAGCACCACATAAGCAAAAAGAAAAAAGCCGGAAGTGGTGCTGTGGCTCAAGTGGTAGAGCGCTAGCCTTGAGCTGAAGAGCTGAGGGACAGCACCCAGGCCCAGAGTTCAGGCCTCATGACCGAAAAAAAAAAAAAAAGAATTAAAGAAAAACCAAATACTGGTGGCTCACGCCTACAATCCTAGCTACTCAGGAGGCTGAAATCTGAGGATCAAGGTTTGCAGCCAGTCCAGGCAATATAGTCCACGAGACTCTTATCTCTAAATAACCACTAGAAAACCAAAAGTGGGCTGTGGTTCAGAGTGGGAAAGTGCCAGCCTTAGGCAGAAAAGCTCAGAAACAGTGCCCAGGTTTAAGTTCAAGCCTTACAACCAACAAAAATACATACATACATACATACATAAAATTGATGGTTATAACAAACATTAAGAACTGCTTTGAGAAGAAAGAGGAGGCCAAATGATTGGGTGGGTATAAATTACCTACTTGGATTCTAACTTCATGTTACTTTGAAGAGATTGGCTTGACACTATCAAAGTGAAAAAGTTATTGTTGATCATGTCAGTTGAACTAGTAGCATGTTCTCTAATCCTAGATGTTGTCTTTCTTATTTAAAAGGACAAGTGCTCATACCTTCTTTTCTCCCTCCCCCCTCCCCTCTCCTACCCCTCCCCCCTTCCCCACTCCAGATACTGGGGCTTGAATCTAGAGCTTTGTGCCTTAGCATCCTAACCACTGAGCTGTATATCTAGCCTTTTTTTTTTTTTTTTTGTCAGTTGTGGGGCCTGAACTCTGGGCCTGGATGCTGTCCCTCAGCTCAAGGCTCAAGGCTAGTTCTCTACCAGTTGAGCCACAGCACCAGTTCCGGTTTTTTGCTTATGTGGTGCTAAGGAATCGAACCCAAGGCCTCATGCATGCAAGGCAAGCACTCTTATCACTGAGCCACCTTCCCAGCCCCCTTTTTTGTTTTATTTTGAGACAGAATCTCAGTAAGTTTATCAGGTTGGCCTGGAACTTGTCCTACCTCCCAAGTAACTGAAATTATAGGCATATATTACCATACCTGACTGCTCATATTTCTAAATACAATTTTGCACTCATGTCATGGTACCAAAAATGAAGTACATATGTAAATTTTCCAGATTAGTGTTGAGTTACCTCTTCTAAGTATTCTATTTAACTTTCATTACAGGTTATTTTTGGCACAATACAGTTAAGTGCTATATAAATCTTAAATGGCTAAAGAGTTACATATAAAACAATAGTAAAATATAAAATCATTTTAATACTGTTGAAATAGGAAAGACTTCCATAAGTAAGAAACAGACTTAGAAGTTAAAAAGTTTATTGTCACATAACATATGATCGTATTAAAATTATTCAACTTCACAATGTTAAAAAATTAATAGGCCTGGGAATGTGGGTTAGTGGTAGAGTGCTTGCCTTTGCCTTGCAAGCATGAAGCCCTGGGTTTGATTCCTCAGTACCACATAAGCAGAAAAAGCCAGAAGTGGTGGGGCTGAGGCTCAAGTGGTAGAGCGCTTCCTTGAGCAAAGGAAGCCCAGGGACAGTGCCCAGGCCTGGCCAAAAAAAAAAAAAAAAAAAAAAAATATATATATATATATATATAATTTGCTTAAAGGCGAAACTAATTGTAGCATAAGTAACAGAGTAAATATTTGCAGGACTCCTACAAATCAATAAAAGGCAATGAATACAAAGGGGAAAAGGATATGAATAGATGATACACAGAAGAAATGTAAATGGTAATAAACTTAGGAAAAGACAGGGGGCTTCAGTGACAGCTAGTAAAGTTCACAGTGCCACAGTGGATGCATTTGGTTTTGTTTCTCAAGACTGGCTGTATCCCAGCATTGGGAACAGTGTAATTTTTTTTTCACAGTGATGGGAGAAATGTAAATTATTCAGACTTTAGGAAAGACTTGGCATAGAATTCATAAATTTAAAATACTCTTAAGAATATGGTATACAACATATACAGTAAGCATATTTAAGTATGTTTTCTATAGTAGGAAAAATTAAAGACAGTGATTAAGGTAGTTCTGCATAGATGGCCTGGATGTCAATGAGAGAATAAGAAAACAAGGAGAAAAATATGCACAGTATAATACCTCTTTGAAGATGATGAGAATGAGTCTGTTTTCATATGCACATGTTTATATAGAGAAAAAATTCAGGAGAAAGTATAGACTGGTTACTCCTGAAACTGGGATTTGAAAGCCTTATACCCTTTATATCATGGTATAATTTAATTTTTTTCTTACATATCATACTTGAAATTTTAAAAGGGTCCAGTGGCATAGTGCTTATCTAACATGCACAAGGCTCTGGGATCCATTCCCAGTTCAGGATAAAACTCAGTAATAATGTTTATTATCACTGTGAAATCAGAGTCCAAATAGCAGCCCTGTTATTAGCAGTAGTGTTCATTTTTACCCAAATCTTTATGGCAGAGAGAATTAATACAGCTGTGGGTCAGCACTGAATGTTTCCATCCCAAGTGAATGCTAAGAGCTTCAGACTCTTCACTTGAGCATGAAAATATTACCTCAGCTATGAAATATGGATATCAATGCACTCCTATGTCATTCTACCTGCATACCATTAGCTTAAAATTTGTTTACAGTTATTTTTCTTATATAAATATGATTAAATTTATAACTTCAATGATGCAGACAGGTACATACCTAAACCCTCCATTAAGGAACAGGGAATTGCCATCACTCCAGACAGACAGTTGAATTCTTTGCTTCTAAGTCAATTACTATCCCTGTTTCCAGAAGCTAAGACTGTACTACTTTTTCTATCATGAATTAGTCCTGCCTGTTATATAATTTCATAAAATGTGTATTTATATAGTTGAACTGCATATGTTGTAGAAAACAAAACTACGTATTTCTTTTTTTTTGGGGGGGGGGTCCAGTCATGGGGCCTGAACTCTGAACTCTGGGCCTGGGCACTGTCCCTCAGCTCTTCAGCTCAAGGCTAGCGCTCTAGTGCTTGAGCCACAGCGCCACTTCCAGCTTTTTTCTTTTTGCTTATGTGGTGCTGAGGAATCAAACCCAGGGCCTTAGGCATGCAAGGCAAGCGCTCTACCACTGAGCCACCTTCCCAGCCCCTAAAACTACGTATTTCTTAATGGGGTCCATTCTTTCTTCCCCTATGATGATGCTCTGTTATTGGGTATATAAGAGTTAGATTTTTTTTTTAACAAATTGATTTCTAACATTGAAAAAAAATGATTATTAAAGCTACATTGAGTACTTGCTATGTTTGAGACATCATGCCCAGTCTTTTTTTTTTTTTTGGTCAGTCATGGGGCTTGAAATCTAGGCCTGGGTACTGTCCCTCAGCTCTTCAGCTTCAGGCAAGTGCTCTACCTTGAGTCACAGCACCATTTCCAGTTTTCTGATGGTTAATTGGATAAAAGAGTTTCATGGACTTTCCTGCCCAGCTTGGCTTTGAATTGTGATCCTCAAATCTCAGCCTTCTAAGTAGCTAGCATTACAGACATGAGCCATCATTGCCCAGCTCCAAGTCACAGTATGCTGCATTATTTTTAACTGCATTATCAGGCTGTCTACCTTCAAAAGGCATACCTGTTTCTTGTCCCTTAAAATACGTGGATTTATACATGCTGCCTGTTTATTAAGCTTCCCCTGATTTGTCACTTGTCACTTCTTGTTCATATGCCACTAGCAGTCTGGAGCAGTGTGGTCCTGCTTTGAATTACATGGTGAGACACTTCTGACTGCTAAGTTTTTTAAAGGACGAATTGCCTTGTTCTGTTTAGAAATAGTCATATAGTATTTATTTATATTCCCATCTCCTTTCCAAAAGGGATGTGCACTCTGTGCCAAATAGGTCTGTAACTCATTTTAAATTTCTATTGTTCATTATTCCAAAGCTGGCAAAACAAAAGCTAAGGGCTATGAAGTTGGCTCAGTGGTAGAGTGCTTGCCTCACATGCATGAGGCCCTGAGTTCAATTCTTCAGCACCATATAAGCAGAAAAAGCCAGAAGTGCTGCTGTGGCTCAAGTGGTAGAGCACTAGCCCTGAGCTGAAGAGTTGAGGGACAGCACCCAGGCCCAGAGTTCAGGCCCCACAACTGACCCCCTCCAAAAAAAAAGCAAAAACAAAAGCCAAATAACTATGAACTGCTTTGTTCCATTTAATTTACAGAAATAAAAGTTCTAGTATTGTAGTAAGTTTGGGGTTTTTGTTGTTGTTGTTTTGGGTTGAGTGGGGTTCTTAAGGAAAAATACCACTGTCTATTTTTCCAGGCATTTATTATCTTGAAAACAATGATTTCAGGTACTGTTATAATACAATATGATGGGGCTCTTAAAGATTTACACAATCCAGATTTTCATTCTACTGTTTCTTTTTTTCTTTTTCTTTTTTTCTTTTTTTTGCAGATTCTCGCCTCTATTGAGCTGTTGGCCCGCTCATTGCCAAAAATTCACCGTAGTGCATCAGAACCCTCCTTGAACCGGGCTGGTTTTCAGACAGAGGATTTTAGTCTATATGCTTGTGCTTCTCCAAAAACACCCATTCAGGCAGGGGGCTATGGTGCGTTTCCTGTCCACTGAGACAAAGTAAATGAGTGAGAAATTAAAGTAAGGTAGCACAAAAAAAAATACATTTATATAAGTTTGTTTAAATGTTCAATTGACTAGGCAACTCATTTCTTTATAGATAAACAAAAGAACACTTCTGTGTTAAACAACTAGATTAAAAATTTTTCTGAATTCATACCTAACAATGGATTTTTAACGTCCACAGGTTAAAACATAAAAACGCTGCAAAAATTGGCAGTGCCTCTTCCAGGGCCCTCTGTTCTGAGTTTGTTTCAGTCAGTTGGTTATTCTAGTTATTAAACTATAGCTTTCTCTGTTTCCTAAGGCAGCTTTTAGTATTAGCTATCACTTAGGGCGGGCTCTGGAGGAGGACCACTCCTCTGAATGCTCGTGGGAAGCTGGCTTCAAATAAGGCAACTGAGCAGGTCTAATTTGGGAAGTCACTATTTTCAACATTACTAATTTTTTCTATAACTATTTCTGTTTACTATTATGAAAATGACTCATGCCTGACATCTCAACTACCCAGGAGGTAAAGATGAGACCAGGAGGATTGAACTTTGAGGCCAGCCTAAGCAAAAAGTTAGCAAGAGCCTAACTCAGTCCTTCTGAGTATGATGGCATGTGGCTGGCCATAAAAAGGAGAATAAAGATCTAGGCCAGTACCAGGCAAAAATGTGAGAACCTAACCAAAAAACGACAAGCTAAAAGAGCTGAGGGTCTGGTTTAAGTAACAGAGCCCCTGCTCAGAGAGCATTAAACCCTGAGTTCAAGCCCAGATCTCTCTGTCACCCCCAAAAAAGTAGAAGTCCTTTGTTTCCTTGAAGCCATGGAATGAGTATCTTTTAATTAATCATGGACTCAAGTGACCCTATATACTCCTGAGAAGTAGCACATTTGACATGAATAAAATGGCTTAATGTTAGATTTTTAGTGGAGAAATGTTCACTGGAGATTTTGTGTGTGTGTGTTTCTGCCTGTACTGGGGTTTGAACTTGGGGGCTGGGGCTTTTTTTTTTTTTTTTGCTCAAGGCTGGCCCACTACCACTTGAGCCACAGCTCCACTTCCAGTTCTTTTGTAGTAAGAATCTCATGGGCTTATCTGCCTTGACGGTCAGGATCCTCAGTTCTCAACCTCCTGAGTAGCTAGGATTACAGGGGTGAGCCCCCAGCACCCAATATAGATAACGTTTCTTTATATACTAAGGATGTCACCATTGATTTTTGTTTAAAAAAAAAAGTTAAAGTTCCTTGCAGATGCATTGCTCTCTTATTCTTATCCCCTCCCACAAAAAAAAAAAAAAAAGAAATCACAGAGCTCTGTGAGAATTTTAGGTTTGTTTTTCTTTTAGATAACTGGTTGCCAAGCAACTTGTTAATGGATGTTTTTCAAGTTATTGCTTTAGATTGTACTTAGATTTTGTGGTTCATCGTAGAGCAATTACTTTATCATGTGTTTCCTAAAATTTTTCTCTTTTACCCAACAAGGTTCTACTTAAGATAAATGCCTATTTTTTTCCTCTTTGCATCCCTCGGTATGAAATACTTCTAATGCATCAGTATGTGTGTGCATACATGTGAGTGTGTATATGTGAGTGTGTGTGTGTTGAGTACAATGAGGCAGTCGTGAGCACCCAAAACAGGAGCAGCACCAGTGTCTTACCAAAGACACTACTGTCTCTACTTCATAGCCTCTTAAACTAAATCTTCAATCACACAGTTTAGATTTAGGGTCTTTATTAAATATAGTCCAAAAAAGGTTTCAGCAGGCAGACCACATCTGAATTTATGTCATCTTCCCTTGAAGTCAGTAAAGCAAAAAATCAGGAAGATTTTAAATTCATGATAAATTAGTTTTTAAGTACCACAGGTAAACCTGTAAAATACGTTTATTTGCATAGTTGATTTCATCCAAGGAAACCAGTATGAATATAGCAGATCTTTTGTTCCCTTGGACAGATTAAACATTGCTACCATGACTTTATATATTGATTCATGACTTTAAAGATAGACAAAACAGGGCTGGGAAGGTGGCTCAGTGGTAGAGCACTTGCCTTGCATGCTTGAGGCCCTGGCGAACCCAGGAATCGAACATTCCTCAGCACCACATAAGCAAAAAGAAAAAAGCCGGAAGTGGCGCTGTGGCTCAAGTGGTAGAGCGCTAGCCTTGAGCTGAAGAGCTGAGGGACAGCGCCCAGGCCCAGAGTTCAGGCCCCACGACCGGACCCAAAAAAAAGAAAAAGATAGACAAAACAACACCGGGAGCCGGTGGCTCATGCCTGTAATCCTAGCTACTCAGGAGGTCTGAGGATCCTGGTTCAAAGCCAGCCCGGGCAGGAAAGTCCATGAGACTCTTATCTAGAGTCTAGAAAACCAGAAGTGGCGCTGTGGCTCAAGTGGTAGAGCACTCACCTTGAGCTGAAGAGCTGAGGGATAAGAGTCTCATGGACTTTCCTGCCCGGGCTGGCTTTTTTCTTTTTGTTTATGTGGTGCTGAGGGATCTAACCCAGGGCCTCATGCATGCAAGGCAAGTGCTCTACCACTGAGCCATCTTCCCAGCCCTCTCCACTAGTTTTAACTTTAAATACAAAGTAAAATTTCTAGGGAGCCTATTGTAGTGGTACATTACTATAATAGCATCAGTTAAGAGACTGAGGTATGCCGGCACCAGTGGCTCACGCCTGTCATCCTAGCTACTCAGGAGGCTGAGATATGAGGATCACAGTTCAAAGTCAGCCTGGGCAGAAAAGGCCATGAGACTTTTATCTCCAATAAACCACTAGAAAACCAGAAGTGGCGCTGTGGCTTACGCAGTGGAGTGCTAGCCTTGAGCTGAAGAGTGCAGGGACAGCACCCAGAGTTCAAGCCCCAGGACCAACAAAAAGAAAAAAAAAGGCTGAAGTAGGAAGATAAGTTTAAGACAAGCCTGTACTACTTACCTTGACTCAACAACAACAACAACAACAATTAAGGACCTGATAATGGTTAAGAACCCTTGCCTTTAGAACTGGAGATACGTCTTAAATGATAGTGTTTGTTGACCTTGAGTTAAAAAAAAGGGGGGTGGAGAGAACTCAAGAGCTTGAGTTCATGCCCCAGTACTAGGTTTTGAAACCACCCCCTCCCCCAACAAAAAAGGGGGGAAAAATCAATGTTTTGGTGTCAGCACTTGGGGCAACATTCGGGTTCGACATTTTTCTAGTCATGTCATTTTGAGCACTTTAAGCCCCAACTTGCTCATCTATAAAATTGAGATAAACATCTGTCTCCTTAGAGTGCTGTGAGGATCAGGGCAGTGTGTGTAAGGTGTTCAATGAGGCACTCAGGCAGTTGCTGATATTATCAGCATGCATATCTTGCGATTCAGTGAGCCCGTCATTAATGTATGTATTGAGACATGCCAGTATTATCTAGTAACCACTTGGAATCTAATAGCAATTTAAAAAAAACTCACTAAATATGTGCTTATTATTCCTAGATTGAATAATTAATTTGTGTGGGTGTGGGGGGGGCGTGGGTGTGGATGTGTGGGTGTGTGTGGGTGTGAGAGAGAGAGAAATTGTTTAAATCTTCATCAGGAACTCCTATTAAAAATTACTTGTCAGGGGCTGGGAAGGTGGCTCAGTGGTAGAGCGCTTGCCTTGCATGCTCAAGACCCTGGGTTCGATTCCTCAGCACCACATAAGCAAACAGAAAAAAAGCCAGAAGTGGCTCTGTGGCTCAAGTGGTAGAGCGCTAGCCTTGAGCTGAAGAGCTGAGGGACAGCGCCCAGGCCCAGAGTTCAGGTCCCACGACCGGACCCAAAAAAAAAAAAATTACTTGTCAGTTATTAATCGACCCCCATAAATAAACTATGCTCTATATAATGGCAGTAACTGGCCTATCTAAGCAGAAGATGTGAACAAAATGATAGCGCCTAGCCAGGCACCAGTGGCTCACACCTATAGTTCCATAGAAGTCGGATCTGAAGCTTGCAGTTACGAAGCCAGCTTGGACAGGAAAGTCTGTGGGGTTCTTTTATCTCCAGTGAACCATCAGAAAAGCAGGAATAGAGCTGTAGCTCGGGTGTTAGTTCCCGAATTCAGGAAGATTGAAGAAGTTTGGCCCTGCAAAGGGATTTTGTGGTTTAAGGAATTCCTTATGCAGAAGATTATGTTCAGTGACACATGTCTAAATTTCTAGTAGTTAAAAAGGTGAAATTAACTAGACAATGGAAGGTCTGGATTTCTTTCTTTCTGCAAAATATGTGATATGGACAAATCATTTGATACCGAAATTTCATCTTTCATACAATGAGGATAATTCTTGATTCTCTCTTCCTGATGGTGACATAACTATATAATGTGGTAGCAGAAAATGAACTGATAATTTAGGGGCAGAAATATTCTACTACTATTGTATAAGCAGTTTCTTCATCAGACATATCAGCAGATCCAACCCTAACATGTGAAACCCAGCTGAGAAATTATCTGCAGATTTGATATTTGATTGATATACTTAAACCATGGTTCCTCACATAAATATACATACTTTTGTTCTTTCATGGGTATTGGCTATTTTGGTTTTTGAATTAGTGATGATGGTATCAGGCTTGTAATATATAAGTAGTCTACCTTTTGGTGAGGTTGAAATGAGGCTTTTCTGCTTGAGGCTATTTTGAGATAACTTTTTTAAAATTAGCTCTTGTCCTCCCTCTACAGGAGAATTTGCAGCCTTCAAGTAGCCACACCACCATGGCCGCATCTACTCTTTATTTCTTTAAGTCTTGTATTCCTACAGTTTGTTAACATCAAAACACGATTCTGTGCTGCAATCCTTTTTTTTTTTTTTAAGATACAAAATTTTCAATGCATAAACTGGTGTGGAACAGAGTGGAATCTCTTACTCAACAAAAGAGGGAAGAGTGCTTTAGGAGCCAGAATTCTCTGCTGCCAGTGTTTCTTCTTCAACACAAACACCACGTGCATACAAGTCTGCCCACTCCTGGAAGAAAAAGGAGAGACCCTGAGTTCTGACCTTTTGATGGTCAGGCATGATGGAAAGAAACTGCTGCTACAGCTTGGGAAATTTGCTATAGAAAGTCTGCCAGTCAACTTTGCCCTTCTAACCACCAGATCAATTTGTGGCTGGTCATCTGATGGGCAGTTTCAATCACCAAGCATCATTCTCTTTCCTGTTCTGGGATTTTGTTGTGGAGCTCTTTCCCCTAGCCACCACCAATTAATTTCTGAGGGATGGAACAGAAATGCAGCATACCTTTTCTGGGTGGCACATGTTCAGTCCTTGGCAAATTTGATCACAAGTGAAGCTGTCTTGTTTAACTGGAGGTGGAGAGGTGAGGAAGAGCTGCATTTGGGGGGCAGAGGAAAAGGGAATGCTGCATCTTCTTCCTGACCTCCGTTTCTTGGCCTCTGGTTGCCTGGCTCACTGGGGCTGTGCCTAACCATGCAAGTTGGACAGTGCTGGCACACATCGCCTTCTTTTCTCATTGGGTCCAGCAATGGAGATGAGGGCTGGGGACTTGGTTCCTCCACAATGTAGCAAATTCTCAGGAAATACAGTCCATATCTTCCTCTAAGCTCTTCCAGTCACCAAGTACTTACATGGCTGTTATGTCCAAAGCAAACACGCCCTGGGCATATCTAACTAAACGCCTGCAAAACTGCTGACTAACAGTTTTGAATGTGAGAAATTTATGTAATTGAAGTGTCAGGTACAAGTTTTAATTTCTGGGTTTCTTTTATTTTTATTAAAAAGAAAATGATTTTCAGATTTAATTGGAATAATACTTCCCACCAGAATTATATATCCTGAAAATGGTATTTTTGTTATATAAACTTTTAAAGAAAGACCATTGCCCTTTTATCTACCTAAAACATGGAGAGTCTTAGACAATTATTTATAATTTTTAAATTAATGGTACTTGCTGGGTCCACACTAACATCTTTGCTAATAATCTCATTGTTTCTTCCAACTTACTCATTCCTACACTACATTCTGCATCCTCTTTCCAGTCTTTGATCTAGAATATGCAACCTAAAATAAAAGTGGTGGTATCTCCATTCATTCTCCTCCTTCCTTTCTTCCCAAGCCTGGTCTTCAAAAGGTTGGGTAATTTGGCAGTTGAATCCCCCACCTGGGAAATGTTAGGGCTATTGGAGTGGAGGGCCGATGTGTGAAAGCAGTTGTTTTTATAGAAAGAGTTACTATGATAGAGGGAATCTAAATCTTTCCTATCCTTGGACAGATGGAAAATATAAACAAGCCCCAGCTTCCTTTGGCCTTCATGAATGGGCAGTACAAATGACCATGGTAGCATAGAAAGCGATGGGATAAACTAATGGTAACTCCCTTATTGGGAGTTCAGGATTGATTGTCAGGCTTTTGGAATGCAGATCATACAAGATTTACTTAGCCAACTAAGGGATAGCCAAAACCTGAAAGAAATTCTTTTAAGACCAAAAATAAATCAGGGAATTAAAAGTGATCATGTAACATTTTCCTGGTTCCACTATCTATAGCTCACCTGTTTACTACTCATTATCATTAGATAGATGACTTCTGCTTAAATACTTGGCATCAGAAGAAGGCCTGCTGCAAATTTCACAGACTTACACAAGGTTGACCCTAGAAAAGTAGGAAATATTGTGGGGTGTGAATCATTTTGAAGCGTACTAGTATGTTTTTAAGTTTGATGTGAGCAGAGCAGTGTCTTAAATTTTTTTAGAATTGCCGAGATGGAAATATATTGTGCTGGTATGAAAAGAATCCACTGTGCATGACGCACCTCTTACTGAAGTAAAAGTCCAAAACATCTCTGTAGATGCTACTTAATATAGCTGTGTTTCCTTTAGCAAGATTGGCTTAGATCTTAAGTCCTGGTTAGAGAAAAACACAGACAGGTGTTGAAGTCCTGCTCAGGAGGTAGAGCCTGCTGTGCATGCCGCAGTGCGGGCTCCCTCTCTCCAGGGACAGAGCCAGCAAGCTGAGGGAGGACTCTCAAGTTGGAATTGTCTAAACAAACGTCTTCCTTTCATTTTAGAATGTTTCTCTCTTACGTGTAAAGGGGGAACAGAGGTGATATCAAATGAAATTTTGTTCCAAAGTTGGGCTCAGGATATTGAGGGGTGGTGGTTTTTTTGTTGTTTTGTTTTTTTAAGGGAAGTTTAAAAATAAAAACAATGTTTAAACCTTCCATCTTATTCATCAAATAGATATTTTTTCCTTGAGTTTACAAATGACAATAAAAGGAATATCCTTTGCTGTAAGTTTTGGTCCTTAGCCTATAGGAGGTAGACTTGAGCTCCTAAGAGATAGGAGGAAGACGCTCTTGTTTGTGCAGAGCACTTTATGAGTAATTGCACCGACAGTGTGTGGCTGCTTCTCCAACCACCTCCTAAGGCCGCCAGTGAAGTGTGTCTGTCAGCAAAGTTGCAGCGCCTTTCAGCATGGGTTTTGGTTTTGGTTGGGAGAGCGAGGCCCTCTGGAAAGTTCACGAGCAGCTGTAGAAGACTTTAAATATGTAGTATTCCTGATTGACTTTCTTTCCTTGAAATAATATGGACCAAAAAATTTATGGAAGGGACTTGTGAATAGGAAATCTGATGTTCTCATTTGTGCTTACGTACACCTTAAAAGAAGACTCTTAACTAGTTATCAAATTGTGGTTCCTGGATATCCTGTCCCTGATTATATTTGAGGTCTGGTAGGACGCGCCTAGGACATTCTAGAAGGGAAAACCCCATGTAAATCACGTTATATTTATGTCATTGTTGAAGTGTTTTTGAAAAGACAGTTCAAAACTTTAGCACTGAAGCTTTGTAAATATTTCCTCATTTTTGTTTGGTGCAGTCCCAGCTCTTGTGTCACACAACGTTGTGTTGTTTTGACGCAGCGCTGTGCGAGCTATCGTGTGCCCCTCTTCAAATCTCAGCTGTCCCCACTGCGCACCACCACCCGGCCTCCCTCAAACAGCAGCTCTAGCTTTACTTTCAAACACTGCGGAGTTCAGGTGACTTCTTCAAAAAACCTACCTCCTCAGAATGAGGTAATGAATAGCTATTTATTTAAATTATGAAAAGCCACGAGCTCTAGAACATGAAGATGATTTAAGATTTTAACTTTTATGTGTTCTTGTATCTGAGCACTCTGATTTTGTCCTAAAGGGCATTATACATTTAAGCAGTGATAGTGTTTAAAAAAAAAAATAAAAGCATTGCTCAAGAGCATCTGTATGTTGTTGGAAGTGGTGCCGAATCTGTTGGGTACATTTCAGAATCTTAACCTTAAATCAGTTTCATGAAGTTAAATAGCTATGGTATCATGTCACAGTGACACAGTTTTACTTTTCAGTAACTTGTCAAGGCAGTACATCTCCATACTGTGTTAGCCACAGCTTTGTCACCCTCATGAGATACTTATTCAGAGAGACTGCCCAGCTAAGAGGGTAGAAGGAGGCCCTCTTAGACTTCAAGTTGGTGTTGCTTGAGACCAGCAGATGTCAACCATTAGGCTATCAGAAACCACAACCAGAGATGGAAGGTGAGAATGAACAGCAACTAACTTGCAAGTTACAGCGAAAAGGTGTAGGTGAGAGTCTAGCAAAATACCTTGACAATTTGCCAAATGATCTTACTGTGCCTTCATGATGCAATAAAAAAAAAAAGCTAAAATTTTTAGCAGAAATCAGTGATTTATGAAGAGAGCCACTCTGGTTTAACTCAGCTGTGTTAATATTTTTAGAGTGCAATTTAGACTGCAAAGATAAATGCACTAAAGAGTTTATAGCCAAAACACATTTTAAAAATGAGAAAAAAAAACAAGTAAATTTTCAGTGAACAAAATTATTTTTTTAAAGCATATAATCCCTAGTATAGTCAGATATATTTATCACATAGAGCAACTAGGTTGAAAATACTGTTCAGTGACATTTCTAGAGAAACTTTTTCTACTCCCATAGGTTCTTCAAAGCATGGAACTTTTATACAACAAAAATGTTTGACAGACATTTTAAGAAACTGCTGTAGTTCAGTGTTGAAGTGCCGTATGCTGGACAGCAATCCTGTGTGTTGGTTCCACGTGTGCTTTCTCACTGATAGTGAGAAAGGAGAAAATAAAATTTGTTTCCAGAGTACTGCTGCCAACCTAGACACTGATTTTTCAGAATTTAAAATGTAAACTCGCCTCCCCGCGCTTGTTTGCAGTGATGTTGGACTGTGCTATCGATTCTGAATGATGAAGAGCACAAAGGGCAGTCTCTGGCGTTGTCCTTAGTGAAGGGACTTGGAATTGTGAGAGACCTATCCTGTGTGGGTAAAACCAGACACTCCATGGTGCACTTTGTGTGTTCGTTTTTTTTCCTCACCACCCTCCTCTCAGATACTCAGATGCATTACTGAGGCCTGAGAAGGGGCAGTAGTGTCTCTGCCAGCACAGTGATTTGTAGATTGGCCAGAGGAGAGGACAGTGGCCAGTGTGTTTGTGGTCTTGTGTTGCTAGCTCTGGAAAAGCTGAAAGTGCTGGTAATGTGTGTGTTGTTTGTCCTATAAGATGTAAGCTTCATTTTGTTTTTGAAATTTCAGATAACTTTTTCTCACTTCTACTTAGGCAAAGACATTGACATTGAAATCAGTTCTAATTTTGTCAGTTGTAGAAAAGATAATTAATAGTTCCTACAGGTATTTTTTGAGACTGAATTGGACAGAATCCCAAAATCATTCCTCCTTTCCCCCTTTCTGTGATGCTGGAGATTGAACCTAGGACCTCGGCGTGTGTTAGGCCAGGGATCTGCCACTGAGCCACATCCCAGTTCATGAAATCTTAAGGCAAAAAGGTAAAAACCACAGTGGCCACCTCAATAAATTCTAGATCTTTATCTACATTTTAACTTTTTATTATTAAATCAGCTTCACTTAACGTTTACTTTCATTTAGCTGTTTTGACTAATTGCAATGATACAACCCGTTGTCATGAGGACACAGCCATTGTGTTTTTTGTGATGCATTTTTTTAAAGAATTCTGTAGTACTCTTTAAACAGAAAATTGGAGTGTGTTTTGTGTGTCAGAAAACAATTTTGTGCAAACCATTTGCTTCTCATGGCAGGCTGAGTACATTATCCAGCACTCATAACTGCTGTTTCCCAGGGGAGACAGGCAGGAAATACTGGAAGAGGTGCAGCAAAGAGAGAGCTGATTTACAGTGCTGGAACAGGGGTGAGGGAGTGAGTTAAAAGTCTTGTTTTTGCTTTGAAAATCACTCGCGTTTCATTAAGCCTTTTGAATGTTTTGTGTTTTGGTGGGTGTGAGTTACATAGGAAGAAATCAAAGACTAACATAAGCAACAAAGCAACTAGGCACAAAAAGTGGACCAAAATAGGGTGGCAGTGAAGTCTGGGGAACAGGGAAAAACTAACGCAAAGGTGCGAAGTGAACTACAGTTACCTGAAATAAAGTTTAAGAGTGCAATACGTGTGCTTTTTATTCTAAGCTGTGAACGGTTTAAAATCATTCCTTCCTAATTCATTTATGTGTTCCATAGTTGATTCAAACCAGCTATGTAAACATAAGCCTTTTCACCTTTTCCAACATAAGTGACTAACCTTTGTCTTATTTATCTTCATGTTATATTAGTTTACATACCAGGTATGTGTGTGCTGTGCCCTTTCTCTTCCTTCATTTGAAAACACATTCATTGGGTCCTCTATTTCCTTTGGCCATACCAAATGATGTAGTCTTGGTTTGGCCTTCATGGTATTGCTTGATTTGAAGGACTGTGTCACAGTACCTGACCCTTCCCTTTAGCACTTCTGTTTCTAAGATAGGTCTAAGATCAGGAGATTGATTTTTACCTTCTATTGTGTGTTTGAATTGTTCAAAGCTGTACTGCTCCTTGGTTTATTCCAAGGAAAAGTAAATCTCCCCTTTTCATGTACTGCTCAGTCTGAGGACAAGTCTGTAAGGGAGAGGAAAGGGAAATGCTTTACGTTGGAACTTCAGTGAATTATGGGTCCTGTTTTACCACTTCAAACCTATGGCAGCTCGCATATGCATTCCTTTCTTAACTGCCACAGGTTCGGGTCTAGTTCACTTCAGTTCCACTCAAGCGTATTCATGAAAAGGTTCTCATGAAGTCGGGGGTGGGGGGAGGGGGTGCCCAGTAAAAACATGGGGCCTTCATTCCTTGTCCACACACCTCTCTATATCTGCTTTATAAATATTACAATGGAGTAACTATTTTTAAAGCTTATTTTTCAAATCATAAAAGACATTTATTTTCAGTCAAATGGATGATGTCTCTCTAAACCTTTAATTCTCAGTGTTTGCTTGTCTTTTTTTTTTTTTTTAATTCCCACACCCACTTCCTGATACTCCTTGGTTCTTTCCTGCTCAGGTCCCTTCATTTGTACTTTGGAGTTTTTCTCATGTAAATTTGTATAATGGAAAATATTGTTCAGTTTGGATAGAAAGCATGGAGAATTAAATAAAAAGATAGTTGAAAATCAGATTGAAGAAATTTATTTCTGTGTAAAATTATTTAAAAACTATGTATTATATATAAAAGGCAAAAAAGTTCTATGTACTTGATGTGAATATGCGAATATTGCTATAATAAAGATTGACTGCATGGAGAAGTCTTCATCAGGATTATTTGTGTAGCACCTGAACATGTAATGACAGAATTAGCCAGTGGGTTTTGACAGTCATTTCTTGGAGGCAGTAGAAAGACTAAGGTGTGTACATTTTGTTTTATAATGTTGATTCTTGCTTGACAGGTAGAAGTTAAAGTTGTCCAGGTTCCCCGCATGGTACTATACATGTGATCCGCTTGTAGGGTAAGTCTTTTGTCAGATATTGGTGATGTTTTTCACCTTACGTACCTTTTCTTTCAAAATGACTGCCTTCCTCCATGTAACATGGTTGAAGTATGTGCTCTAACAGTTGTAAAATTATTATCTGTAGAATTCCATTGTAAGCTTTTTTTAACACCACCTGCAATCATATTCTGTAATACGGGGCTGGGAATGTGGCTTAGTGGTGAAGTGTTTGCCTAACATGCATAAAGTCCTGGGTTCGATTCCTCAGGACCATATAAACGGAAAAAGCCACAAGTGGCGCTGCGACTCACATGGTAGAGTGCTAGCTTTGAGCAAAAGCAGCTCAGGGACAGTGCCCGGGCCCGGAGTTGAAGCCCCAGGATTGGCAAAAAAAATTCTGTGAGCAGCCACTCAGAACAAAACACCCAGGCCACAATAAATGGACTGTACTAATGCCTAACCTGTAAACTCGGGGCAAGAATCCAGCTGCTATAGATAAATGACAAGATGAGTTACTTGACTTAAGCGGTCAGAAGACAGTATGGCACTGTGCATGAGCTTTTGCACCACTTACCAGTTGTGTGATACTAAGCAAGTTGAGTTAGCTCATCTCCTTGTCCCTCAATGGCAATAAATGCAGCTAACCTCTATCTCCATCTCGGGGGTACTCAAGATATAAACCACTTGCACCACAATGGGAACAACGAAAGTGAAATAGAGCTGTCAGTATCACAAACATAACTCAGGTCCTCATTCTTGGCCAAGCCTTTTTTAATTTACAACTTTAGTGTACAACATTAAGTCCATACTTCCTTGAAATTTCTCACTTGGTTCCTGTGGAAAAACAAAAATGGAAAGTTTTAATAACATATTCACTAATCCAAATCTGTAACTTTGTTTATGCAATTATTCAAAGATAATTCTTGAGTTCTTATGACTAGTCTTACAAAGTAAACTGCTCTTCCCATCAAAAAGCAAGTCTAGCTGGCACCCGTGGCTCACGCCTGTAATCCCAGCTACTCAGGAGGCTGAGACCTAAGCATCGCAGTTTAAAGCCAGCCCAGGCATGAAAGTCCATGAGACTCAATCTCCAACTAACCACCAGAAAACTGGAAGTGGTGCTGTGGCTCAAGTGATAGAGGACTCTCCTTGAGCTGGGACAGTGGCCAGAGTTCAAGCCCTATGACCAGCAAGGAAAAAAAAAAAAAAAGTCTAGTCATTAAAACAATGCCTATGTGTGGGAATACTGGGAGATTTGTAGGGATGTAAAAGGATCAGTGCTGGAAGCTATATAACAAAAGCACTGGAGGCAGGTAAGGAGAGAACACTTGAGTGTGTATAAAATCTGCCTGCTCTGTGGCCACATTTTCTCCCTTCTACCTCCCTACAAGACTTAAAAAAGTGTTCTATCCTGCATTTCCACACCCTCCCAACCCCCAGTATGGGGCTTGAACTCAGTTTCAGGCTCTTAACTCTGGTTGCTTGCTCTACTGGTGCTCTGCAAATGGAGCCAAATCTCGAGCCTGGCTTTTTAGCTCATTAACGAAATTGAGTCTAACTTTTTCTGCCCAGGGCTGGCTTCAAACTCCTGTTTTCTGCCCAGGGCTGGCTTCAAACTCCTATCCTCCAGATCTTAGTCTACTGAGTAGCTAACCTTAATATATCAATAAATGGATGGGTAAACAGGATCCTAAGTTTGTAACCTAACTTAGGAAATACTAATTTTTTTAAATACACAATGAAAAGGAAAATGATACCAAAAGTGGAGAGAGACAGCAGATGTGTAAATACTGTAGAAATTAGGTATGACTCAGTTAATTGTGCTTCATACTATTAGAATATTCATTTTAAGACTATTAAAAGTGCAAAATCAAGCCGGTGCCAGGGGCTCACGCCTGTAATCCTAGCTAGTCAGGAAGCTGAAATCAAAGCCAGACCGGACAGCAAAGTCTGTAAGACTCTTTATCTCCAATTAACCACCAGAAAATGAAGTGGCGCTGTGGCTCATGTAGTAGAGCACTCGCCTTGAGCTGAAGACCTCAGGGACAGCGCCCAGGCCCAGAGTTCAAGCCCCATGACCAACAAAAAAAAAAAAAAAACACAAAATCAACTGTTTATGACAAAAAACAAATCAGAATTTAAGACATTAGCCAGCTTGGTGGTGCACACTTGTAATCCCACCTACTAATCTGAAGGCAAGGACACGGAAGAAAAATTAGAGGCCAGACCAAGCAAAGTTAGCCAGATCCTATCTATAAACAAGATACAAACAAAAAGGACTAAGAATTGTAGCAAGCTCAAATCCATGTTGAGTTCTTAGTACCATAAATATTAATTAAAATAGAAATTTAGGGCATACCTTCTTAAAAGGCTTGAGTTTATACTTTCAATCCTCCTCATCAGGAAGGATACCCAATTCTTCATCTGTCCACTGGGAAGGATCAGGATATGTAAAGTGACCCTGGTGATAGCCATTCAAAAAAAAAAAAAGTCAAGAATATATACTAAATGCAACTAATTAAGTTTCAAAAGAAAAAACAGTAATCAAGCTAAGTACCGTATGCACAGTCCTTGACATAGTATGGGACCCTTAACCATTTGGTAGCCCAACTGTTCATCTGTCCTTTCTGCATGACAGCCTGAATTTTAAAAGCCACCTCTTTTGGAAGAAGCCTAGGCCAGTGCTCTGCTAGTGATGAAGAGGAGCATAGAGTAGGGGCAACAGACTCCTCCTGTTTTCATCTCAGCATACAGAACAGCATAAATATTTTCAGACTTCCCTGTGAGACTTGTCAGCTTCGAGAATATTAGTCTGTGCCATCCAGATCTAGAAGTATACATCTGGCTGCAACACCATCTCCTCTTTATACCATATACTCCTGACATGCGACCTCTGCATTGAAATGGGGATGTTTTAAACAGGTATTGTGCTCTAGTTCATACACCCAGGCAATTCTAAGAAAAAATGGATATCAAGAAACCTGATACATAGGGGCTGGGAATGTGGCCTACTAGCAAGCATGAAGCCCTGGGTTAGATTCCTCAGTACCAGAAAAGGCCAGAAGTGGCACTGTGGCTCAAGTGGTAGAGTGCTAGCCTTGGGCAAAAGAAGTGGTTAAAA